GTTCATACGGACAGACAGACGGACAGACAGACGGACAGACAGACGGACAGACGGACAGACGGACAGACGGACATGGCTATATCGACTCGGCTAGTGACCCTGATCAAGAATATATATACTTTATAGGGTCGGAAACGCTTCCTTCTAGCTGTTACATACTTTTGCACGAATACAATATACCCTTTTACTCTACGAGTAACGGGTATAAAAAGCATTTGGATAAGATTGTCGCTATATTGCATGCATAACTTAACGTCGTCTGCGTACATGAGGCGACTTTGTCACGACTATAGGGAGATCGTTAATCCCTAAAGATTATAAAATGAAAGACCGATTTTTAAGGAGATACGGCCACAACCCAAACCGTAAGAGCAAGAGCAGCCAAATTTTTTCACAGTATTCCATTGGGGGCGTGGGCGCCCACTAAGATCCGATATGTCCCCCCAGTGGCCCCAAACAGCTCCAACATCCATTATTCTGAGCAAAAAAAAGTTGATGTATTTAAGCTTAACTTCTAAAGTGGTTGGAATTTCGATATTTGGTTTTTTCCGAATTTTAGGTTTTGAAAAGGCCTAATTAGAAATCTAAAAGAAATTTCGATATCCCCCATAATTTGGGGACTACATTTAAAATTAACTTTTCGATTTAAAAAATCTAAACCGCTGCTCCGATCAAGATGATTTTTCGCTCAATAGTTATTCTATGGCCCAAATGCTTAAGTTTAATTTTTCAAGTTTTTAACATTTTTTTAAGTATTTTTAACGAATTTATTTAGATTTTATAAGTTATTGCGTTGCATTTTGCGGGAGCCTGTCGAGAGAACAAAACCCAGAGAGCGGATGCCAAGAGAGCGACGGCCGAGAGAGCAACAGCCAAGAAAACTGATGAGGGGGAGGGGTAGTGCTGCAGGGAAAGGGGAGGGGAAAGAGGCAATTTAAGTTAAATTTCTTTTGGATTTTAAAAACTTAAACTGCTGCTCCGATCAATATGATTTTCGATCAATAGTCAGTCCTGTGGATCAAATGCTTAGGTTTTATTTTTCATTTTGTAGCAGAAGTAAGAGCCTTATTTAATTTCCACCATGGAAGAAAATAGAAAATTACTACAAATTCTGTAAGCAAAGCCAAAATGTTTCCAAGTTAAATATTAATCTTAAGATTCGAACTTTTGACCAAATACGTATGTACATATGTATATTTGGATATGTTTTGATTTGCTTATATGTACAATACATGTACATACATACAATGTGTGTGTATGTTTCTATTCGGAAGTAGATAATGTGCTTAAATACAAATAAAATGATTTATTATACCCGTTTATCGATCAAATATGGAATCTGAAAATAATACGTTACTTTGCTGTTTTTGTATTGGATGCCAATCTTTTACTGTGTGTACAAAGGTTTTCGTTTCATTCAAAACAAGAAATTTGAAAACAACAAAGTCCAATTTACAAACAAGTATACATATTTGTGCGCAAATTAAAATTGCATTGATAACATTGTAACTGATAAAAAGTATACTAGCTCACGACTTTTACTTGGATCACTTTCATTTATTATATAGCTCTGCCAGTATCCTTCTGATTCTCTCTCTTGAAGGATCTTCTACAAAGGTTGTTTACACAAAGGTTTTCAAAAAACGCCCAAATAAGAAATAAGAAAGTCCTGACAACCCAATTTCATAACTCTAAACTAATAATAAGCGAACGAGCAAAAAGTCGTATACAATACAATTTTACAAAGCGTTGGGGCTGAGATGGGTGAAATATTTTTTTTGGATGCACCTGGAGGGACAGGTAAAACCTTCTTGACAAACTTATTGTTGGCAAAAGTTCGAAGTTCAAAAAAATAGCCCTAGCTGTAGCATCTTCCGGTATAGCTGCTACCCTGCTCAATGGAGGTCGAACTGCTCATTCTACATTTAAACTTCCTTTGGATTTAGTTAATTTAGAAACACCTCATTGCTCTATTTCAAAGCAATGTAATATGGCTGCGGTGTTTAAAGATCGTAAGTTAATTGTTTGGGATGAGTGCACAATGTCACATAAAGGTGGGCTTGAAGCCATAAATAGAACCCTGCAAGATATTAATGAGAATACTATGTTGATGGGTGGTATTACAGTCCTGCTAGCTGGAGACTATCGCCAAACCCTTCCTGTTGTGCCAAGAGGTACAAGAGCTGACGAAATAAAGGCCTGTTTAAAATCTTCATTTTTATGGCCACAGATAAAAAAAACTAGCGGTCACGAAAAATATGCGAGTGCACTTAAAAGGAGACAGTTCTGCAGGAATTTTTGCCGAAACTCTTTTAAAAATTGGGAATGGCGTCCATCCAACAGTTGAGGCAAAAATAGTTATAACATCACGCTTAGGAAATGTAGTCAAAAACGTTCAAGACCTTACATCCAAAATATTTCCTGACATTTCCAACATATCATGTAAAAGCTTAGACTGGCTATCTGAGCGCGCCATTTTGACAACGAAAAATGAAAGAGCAACCACTATTAATAATTTATTGCTAAACTCATTTGATGGTTTAGAAGTCTCCTATAAATCGGTCGACTCTGTTCCTGATGCTGATAATGCTGTTCATTACCCTGTTGAATTTTTAAATTCATCCAGGAATTCCTCAGCATAATCTGTCTCTTAGGATTGGAGCACCCGTAATGATATTGCGAAATTTAAGTCCCCCAAAGTTATGCAATGGGACACGATTGCAGATAAAAGGTCTTCATAAGAATGTAATCGAAGCAACAGTATTTACGGGGTGCGCGAAGGGGGAAACAGTGTTTATACCCAGGATCCCATTAATACCATCCAGTCTGCCGTTTCAGTTTAAAAGGCTACAATTCCCTCTAAAAGTTTGCTTTGCAATAACTATAAATAAATCGCAGGGGCAGAGTTTGAAGCTGGCTGGACTGGATCTTAGAGAAGATTGCTTCTCTCACGGACAATTTTATGTCGCATGCTCTAGAGTTAGCTCTGCCAGTAGCCTTATTATTCTCGCTCCTGAAGGATCTTCTAAAAATTTTGTTTACACAGAGGTTTTAAAGTAATCATATTAATTAACATTATTAAACCTAGAAAGTTTCAGTGGAATAGGTCTAATTGGAGATACCACATTAAAAAAAACGAGCCAATTTCTCTACCTCAGGGGTGGTGTGGAATTGGGAAAGTCTTGACAACCGTACTCAAAACTAATTTTAAGCGAACGAAGTCGCGCCGGGTACAGCTAGTAAATAATATAAAGAAGAAGTGGGCAGAGGTTGCAAGGTTGTTAATAAATAATGCAAAAAGAAGCTGACCAAGATGTGCCCCTTGACACAGAGGTAACACAGAGATGTTTAGAAAAATAATTTTTGAAATGGTCCTACCACTCAGATAACTTAGTATACATATAAAAATATCAACTGGAAACCCTGTAGTAAGAATAAAGCTGTGCTGAATGATCTATAATAAAATAATTGGACTAATAAATCGCCTAATGCCTGATTTGTGGTTGCTATCATGTTTTCAAACGACAGCTAGGAAGAATAAGAATTAGAGTTACGCTTGGTGCAAACAAAGTTATAAAACTATTTCCGCTCCTGCGAGAGCTGTACCCTGCACGGAGAATTTTTCGTGATCACTTAAATATCTTAAAACTAGAAAGGAAGTTGATATACCCTTGCAGAATATTCTGTAAACTATATTCTCCAAAATTATTCATATCATTCAATCTTAATACTCATAAAAAATCCCAACATCCTAACTTTAAAAACACCAAAGTTATATGGCAGCTATAGGATATAGTCGGCCGATCCTTATGAAATTTGACTGGCCAAAAATAAAACCCAGAGAAAATCCCAACTTCCTAACTTTAAAAACACCAAAAATATGGCATTTCCGATAATCAGTTATATGGCGGCTATAGGATATAGTCGGCTGATCCCAGCCGTTCCGACTTATATTTTGTGTGCAAAGGAACGAAGGGTGTGTGCAAAGTTTCAATTCTATATCTTTAAAACTGAGAGACTAGTTCGCGTAGAAACAGTCAGACGGACAGACTGACGGACGGACGGAACAGATTTGAAAACGGAAAAGTGATTTAAATAATAAGAAGTTTAGACAACGGCGGAATATATAAGCTTGTTAGTTATATAGAGTTAACATTAAACGATAATTTTTCGCAAATAATTTCAATAGTGTTGAAATCCCCAAGAAATAACTTCTCTGACGTAAGATTTGAGTTCACTCAAATTTCAAAAGTATTTGCACATTTCTTATGAGTAAGTACGAGTAATTTGTGCAAATACATTTGACCACCCCTGTATGTATATTTTGAGGGTTGGGTGGATACAGTAATTGTAAAGCCCCAGCAGACAAATCAGAATTTTTATAGGTGCCAGTTTGCATACATTCCGCTACGGATTGTTCATATACCGGATCTTTTTAACTGCTGATCTTAGCAAGATTGCTGTGATCGGCGGGAGTGCTTTGCTGTTTTTTATTGATGCTGCGGGGTGTTACCCTTTTGCCACCAGCTGTTTTTTTTACACTGGAAAACTTTAAATTGTAATATGTACGATTAAATACTACATACGTTTTCTTAAAATGTGTTTAATCTTAAATAGAATAGAATGTTTTTTATCTTGAAAAGAATGTTTTTTTTAAGTTTAATTCACTACCGAAAAATTGATTGGTCTATTTAACTTCGTTGTTTTTATGATGTTTGTAAACCATTTTTGACTTTGCGTAAGCCTTGTTATTTTATTCTTTTATATCATAAAATTTTGTTTAAAATTTAAAAAAAATTAATTTTAATTTTTTAATACAAATTTATTTATAAAAAAACCGTAAAAGTTATTTTTTGAATAACTATTGAACGGAGTTCATGCACTGCCCATAGTAATATTTTGATGATCATACCACTGCACAAACATTAATTTCGTTCAGAGTTATTAGTGCATTAGCTATTGAGTTTGTTTATAAATAAAATACATGATTAATTAAATCATTCCTTTCACATTTTTTTAAATTCAACTTTATTTCCATATTATTTTCACAAAACTCTTAAAATACACAATATGCTTTTTTGCCAAACAACATTGAAGATAAACCAACTTTTTATAATTAACTAATTTGTTGGATCTCTTTAACATATTGCCGCTTACATTTCCCGGTAAATATAAAGATTTTTAGTTTATAGTCAGATTAACATCGACTCTAATAGGGAAACGGTTAGGACTTTTTCGGCTTTAAGTTTCAATTGTATTATTATAAATTAAATTATTTTATTTATTTGTTTCTTCAAATGAACTGGCTCTGGTTTTTTATAAATATAATAACGAGAGCTAATTCACAATTTTCCATAACAGTTCAATGAATTCTCATTGAGCTCAAAATCTGCCAACTTTTAATTCTAAATAATTAATAGCTCTAGTTTATTATTCAGCACACACTGCAGCACAATCTGTAGACAATATTCCTCTGGGAAATCTATCAGGTATGTGCTTACGTGTCGCATTCGATTTGTTTCTTTATTTTGCTATGCATTTTCATCGTACTTAGTAATTTTTGTTATTCTACGTGATCACATTGAAACTTTTGTTTTAAAAACGCGTTTAGGAGTTATTTTAATTTGTATAATAATATATAACATATTATTTTTAGAAGCTTTAACAATTTTTTAAACTTTTTATGAATGTTTCTTAATTACAGAAACCTGATTTAAATTTTTCAGAACCCATATATTTTAGCAATATATCTCATGACAAACATTACTCCAAGCGGCACGAATTACCCATTACAAGTAGAAAGTGTTTTAATATTTATTTTGTATTATATCAACTCACAATAGAATTGATATCAATGAATAGAAAAAAAATGACGCAAAAGTTGGGGCAATAAGATATTTTATATAAGATAGTCGGAACCCAATATTTTTGTAAAAGTTATGGTGCAAACGCAATTGTATTTAAAATGTTTTGTATTGTAAATGTTCTGCTATGTCCCCTCCATTAAGATCTATCGAGCAGTAATTTTTATTTACAAAGCTATAGTTTTTATATTCACCGAGATATAGGGTTTTATATAGACGGTCGGACGGACTTGGTTACGGATAAATCTAACACATCAAAACAAAACATGCAAAAGCCAATTGAAAGCCTTGAAACTTTTGCCAAAATATAAGATTCGGAACCGGTGTATCAATATATTAGTAGGGTAAACCAAATCATAGAGTTTAGAAACATTTGTAATTGAGATTTGACATCTTCTCTTTATGTATCAGAATGCAAATTTTGTATTATTAAATGGGATCCGATTTTTTTTACTTATACTGAAGTTGGCTTTTCTCCAAATTTATCAATTGTTTCTTTCCGTAATTGTTATATTTAAAACCTTTCATATTTCGTTTTAATTATTGTTAATAAATTGTATTAACTATAACCGATAAATTCATGAATTAATTAAAAGTTGATTGTGCCTTGTAAGGGCCGCAAGGGACAGCAATTAGCCATATGAGATATTATATTGGGTCCTTTTGACCAACCTAAATCGGTCATTGAAAAACCGAAGATAAAATAGTGGATTTTTACATATTATTACATTATGGTGACATGGCGCGCAGATTCTCAGACCAAGCACAAATTAATTATTCGATTCTGTCTGAGTGATTTAAAGATATAATTTTCTCTACTTTAACGCTAACTAAATTACGTTATTATTTTATAATAAAAAACTAAATAATACTAACAAATATTTTTCTAAATGCTACTAAATAAATATATTTGTGTGTCATTCAAGCTTAATCATTCGCATATTTCTGAGTTTAGTTAGTTATGTCAAACATTACAAGCTTTTCATTTTTGTTGGTCAATCGACATATTTAAATACATTTTTTATGCCTTCTATTAAGATTGCATAAATCACGCGATATTTATTTATTTAAGACTATTTGAGGATGTCGGTAGATTATTTTCGGCAGTAATTAAGTCGGACGATTTTTTCATTTTTTCGCAATAATCATTAAAAATATCTCGAAAGCGAATCCAACATTTCTCTGGGATAGTTATCGAAGTTCGAAAGTTATTTTTTACCTTTAATTAAAAAATATAAATTCAATAACAAAAAAAATCACAACTAATATTTGTGTATATACTTCGCTTATCCGCATGTAGACTCCTCGGTTGTTTTGTCCGATATCGAAATAAAAGTTTTTATTATCCACTTTCATATGCCGCTCCTCAGGCAAGTCCCCTTTAAACCTGCTAAAAAATGAATGCCGAAACTTTTAATAAGTATCACGTTCTTTAAGAAAACAAAAGACAATATTTTTAATTTAAGATTAAACTATGTTACAACTTTTAAGTTTTATTCTTTTTGCATTAATGGGCTTAAACTTTTCTAATAGAATTCGGTGTACCAATTTTTAACAAGGCCTGTAAAATGTTCCACCAAAGGATGACCTAATTCAGAATTTGTATTTTTAAATCTCGATAACAGGCGAACCGGTTCATATTACCGATATTTTTTGACAACATGTCCAAGTGCATTTTTAACATTGTCCAAGTGGATTTTAACATATCTTTTCCAGAATTAAAAAATATTTAATGGTGCTATTAGCTAAATGTGACTACCTCAGATCCCATGCAATTTTTTGGAAACATTTGCTAAGAAGAATAAAATTATTTCCAAATTTTCAAGTTAAGCTCTAGGACTTCTGTCATTTAATATTTACTCTTTGTGGGACATTGTTTTATTTTTAAGCCTAGTACTCAGATCGACAAACGATTATGCTCGCGTAAAAACTTTAATCTTTCCAGTGTGACCAAAATTTCGAGAGTTCAAAAGATTTAAGCGTGCTGCGGTCGTACTGTGAATGGTATAGTTTTTTTAATTTCTTTGTACAGCGGCAGACTTGTCTTGCCAAGGTAGTTGATAATATTTTTTAAAGACTCTTTCCCGCAAATACCATTTTTAAATTTTAAATGCTTGTCAACAAACCCAACTGGTTGACAGTACGACTGTAGCACGCTTAATTCTGATGAACTCTCGAAATTTTGGTCTCACTGGAAAGAATAAAGTTTTTAAGCTAGCGAATTCGTTTTTTGATCTGAGTACAAGGCTTAATCCTTAAGTTCGCTGGGAAAAAATTTATTTTTTGGAGTGTCTGTTGTCAGAGCAGAGTATTTCAAAGGTCAAAAAATAGACGGAAAAACACAACAAAAAACCTAGAAATTTCGCCTGCAAAAACTTAGGACAGCTATGATCTCTAAATTACCAAATAATTATCAGTAGCTAAAAAAAACAACTGTTAAATTTAAAATATATTGCTTTCTAATTTCCTTGAATAGCGGCTGATATGTCTTACCAAAGTTGTTGAGAATATCCTTTAAAGGCTCTTTCCTACATATAAGACTTTAAAATTTTAACTGCTTGTTAACAAACCCTGCTGATTGATAGTACGACCGTAACCCGCTCAATTCTAATAAACTCCCAAAAATTATAGAAACTCGCAAAAAATATCTTTGTATAGAATCTTACATTTTTGTTATAGCTTTGAAAAGAGTATATAAACTTAATTTGCGGGATTTTTAAAATTAAGACCGTATATCCGGTTTAGCAGAAAAATATTTATCAATTTGAGTTATATAAAAAAGGAACAACCATTTTTAACCCTAAAAATGTGATTTATGATAGGACCTCAATATTAAAAACACACTTTTTGCGACAAAGTAGCAGCTCTGTTTAAGGAGAGTTGACCCAAACGCTTGCAAAATATCTCAACGAAAAACTTGGCTTTGTATAGAAGCGAGCGTATGCACAACAGGTACATAATATTTCTGACCTAAATAATAATATTAATAAAATAGCGTGGAGTGAAATGTGCCTATATTTTTATTGTGTTCATATTTTCTGCGTGATGATACCACGATGGAAATTTTGGCAAATATATATATTATTTTGGTAATTTCAAAGAGATAATTAATATGATCGGCTTAAGATAATCTTTATTAATATAATATAACAAATTAATTTATAAGTTTTTTGTTATACTTTACCCTCCATCGTTTGCTCCAAACTCTTCTAACAAATCTGTAAGGGCATCACGAAACTCAATCATGCCTTGAGCTGGTAGAGCGATTTGAGATCTAGGTCCACCTCTTGTAATGGTTTGTGACACCTAAAATTGTTTTAATTTATATAATAGTATATGTAAAGAACATTAATAAACGAAAATAATACTCCCTAGCCGTTGATGACAATTTCTATTCAAGTCAAGCCCTTGGACTTCAATACTGGCATTTAATATTTACTCTTTGTGAGACTTTGTTTTATTTTTAAAATTAAGAAAAGGTTCGTGCTTTATCGAAAAAGATGGAAACGCGATTGTATGCCATCTGATTTACAAGATAGCCAATCTGGATCATCAGTTGAAATTACTAACTTACTATCCGCGATCACCATCAATAAGCACTCATAACTGGTTTGGAAGTTTATCAAAACCGAGAATTGCAGGTGCAAATTAACGCCCACTCTTCGTTGCATAAACGGTTAAAATTCCGTTGGAATGTAAATACATATGATCTAAATACAAAGTTTATCTAAGTAGATTTCTGTGTCGCCTTCGAAAACATCCAGTCGGTTTTTTAAATTTTTTTTAAAGATTGTTTTTCTGTTTTTTCTAATTTAGTCACGTTTTAAGTGGTAATTTTAAATCAAACTTTCTTTAATCATTTTGATCTGCTTCATATACTGGAATAGAAAATGTATAAGGTTTGGCGAAACAGCAAATCGATATTAAACTTTTATTGATTTCAGCTACGACCTTTTTTCATTATATTCAAATTTTTATATCTATGTTTAAAGTTGTTTAATGATTTTTTTCAATTGTGTCTTGTTTTTTTTTTACTATTTAAAAAATTTAGTTCGACCGTTGTCCAGACTGTTTTTTTTTATAGACATGAAACTTAGAATTGCATTGAGCATTATCCACCATCCAAAAAAGCCCAGCACAGTTGCTCTAGTGTCGTGGGGAAAATTGACTTTATTAAACTGTTTTAAAAATATTTTTACATGCTTTTATTTAAATAAATTCTATAGGGTTAAAACCTTTTTTGAAATTTAAAATAATTGCTGGCCTATTACTCTGCTTACAAATGCTGGCTGGAAAAGCGGTGGGAAGCCCCTCTTCGCTTTCCATTACGACTCTGATTAACGGAAATAATGATGGCCGACTTGTACATTTAACATGTTTCCTGCGAAGAATTTAGGGCTGTACAGAAAAACCATCTTCTAAATATTGAGTAGAATAGAAACCCTAACTGGAAAAACTCTAATGACTATCCCGCAAATGGATGGTGGATGTAGCTCTTCCTATGTTAATAAACTTATTAAAACTTTAAAAGAAAATCTGTTTGATTCGTTGGGACTATAAGTTAAAACATTTCTATTTTTCTTACGATATCAACAGCCATTTTACTATCAAGCAACAGACAGAAGCTGAAATTTTGTTAAAATCCTGTTGAATTTGAGCTTAAATTCAGACCGACAAAATATTAGTTCAGTATTTCCTAAGAAAATAATTTATTATTTAAGTTAAATTTATTCAGTTTTTATGTAAATTTATAGCAATCCTAGAACATTTTGTAAAGAACAAAACACGAAAAAATATAAAACTTGAATTTACTTAGAAAACTATTTCAAAAATGAATACTTTAGCGACAACGGCTAGGGAGGCTGTAAACTAGTGAATTATATAACTTAAAATTTTACCCGTAGAAATCGTCCTCGCGCATTTTCCTTTAAGTCCAAATAATATCTTCTATAATCTTTTATCATCATTTCGGATTTTAATTTACCATCCTCCGGTAAATTGTCAGTGTTAGGGGGGCCTGTATTTTGACCAGCTTTTTATTAATGATTGCTTTATTAACTCCAAAATACTTAAACATTAGGTTTTTTTGTGCCGCCGAATATAAAATGCCCTTTACAAATGTTCATTTTAGTACCAATTATGTTTATTTTAGGGGAATAAACCATTTGACATTCCATGAGAAAATCAGCCCAAGTATAAAATAAAAATTTTAAAATATTTAAATTAAAAAAAATAAAATTTAATAAATCTTAATTTAAATAAATCATAATTTCAGTAAAAAGTTTGCAACGTAGTGAAGGAGACATTTCCGACCATGTAAAGTATATATATTATTGTTCAGCATCATCAGGAGAGTCAATCTAGCCATGTCCGTCTGTCCGTCCGTCTGTCCGTCCGTCCGTTTCTAAGCCAACTAGTCCCTCAGTTTTAAAACTATCTGCTTGAAACTTTCCCAAAAGCTGTCTTTCTATTGCAGGTAATATATAAGTCGGAACGAGCTGGATCGGGCGACTATATCATATAGCTCGCATAAAACCAATCGAAAAAAATAAATTAAAACAAACAAGAAAGGAAAGCTAACTTCGGACGGAGCCGTAGTTGATATACCCTTGCAGAATATTCTGTAAATTATATTCAAATTCAAAATTATTCATATGATGTATTCTTAATACTCATTAAAAGTCCCAACTTCCTAACTTTAAAAACACCAAAGTTATGGCATTTCCAATCGTTCAGTTATATGGCAGCTATAGGATATAGTCGGCCGATCCTTATAAAATTTGGTAGGTCGGATTGATTTGCCAAAAATAAAACCCATAGAAAATCCCAACTTCCTAACTTTACAAACACCAACGTTATGGCTTTTCCGATCGTTCAGTTATATGGCAGCTATATGATATAGTCGCCCGATCCGGCTCGTTCCGACTTATATACTACCTGCAATAGAAAGACTTTTGGGAAAGTTTCAAGCAGCTTTAAAACTGAGGGACTAGTTTGCGTAGAAACGGACGGACAGACGGACATGGCTAGATCGACTCTCCTGGTGATGTTGATCAAGAATATATATACTTTATAAGGTCGGAAATGTCTCCTTCACTGCGTTGCAAACTTTTGACTGAAATTATAATACCCTCTGCAAGGGTATAAAAAGGGAAGCTAACTTCGGGCAAAGCCAACGTTGATATACCCTTGCAGAATATTCTGTAAATTATATTTGTTGGCCAAAAAAAACCAATAAAAAATCCCAACTTCCTAACTTTAAAAACACCAAAGTTATGGCATTTCCAATCGTTCAGTTATATGGCAGCTATAGGATATAGTCGACCGATCCTTATGAAAGTTATGGCATTTCTGATCGCTCAGTTGTATGGCAGCTATAGGATATCGATTTCCCGATAAATGGTTAAATCGCTTTAATTACAGCTACATGACATAGTCGCTCGACCTTTATAAAAGTAAAACCGTAATTCGGAAATCGTTAAAAATTACTATATCTTTAAAATGGTTGATGTAGTGTTAGTGTATTACTCGAGGTCATACGTTGGTTATTTTAATTTCTTCTATAACACAACGATTTATTCCACTTAACTTTCATCACACTTACACTCCCTGGGGAGTGAACCCGACTATGATAGGACTAGCTAGTTTCGTCTGCACGTCACCTCAGACTCATCAGCTATCTACGGGGATGGAAGCAGAGCATCAGAAACTCCCCAATGTTACGATCAGAGAAGCTTTTTTTTGGCAATTGTGAGTTGCCAAAGCTAGTCCTATCATAGTCGGGTTCACTCCCCAGGGAGTGTAAGTATGATGAAAGTTAAGTGGAATAAATCGTTGTGTTATAGAAGAAATTAAAATATAATATAACCAACGTATGACCTCGAGTAATTCAATAACACTAACATTATTGTTGACCAAGGTCGATACCAAAACCAACATAAAATGGTTTATGTTAAAAAACAACGAAGTTAAAATTTTACTTTTCATTCTTTCTCGATTGATTCGATGACAGTTATATGAAATAGTCGATTTTAATAAACTTAAACTCTATTTCTGAAATTGGTAAAAAATATATTAGGAAGAATATTGCTAAAAATTAAAAACAACAAAATTATAATTTTATTTTCCTTTTCCCGTTTGTTTCTAAGGGAGCTACCTGCAAAGGAAATAAGACTTTTTGAAACTTTGCAAATATCTTTAAAACTGATCGACTAATTTGCTTAGAAAGAGACTGGTAATGCTGATCAAGAATATATATGCTTTATAGGGTCGGAAATGTGCCCTTGACTGCGTTGAAAGTTTTGGCTAAAATTATAATACGCTCTATAATTTTTGTTCAAACAAATTATAATTATTAGTGCATTTACAATATAAGTATATATATATATAAATAAATACACGAAAACGATAGTTTGAGCAAAGACCAATATAATCTCTTTTTTGTTTCCCCTTTGGATTCTTTTTTCTAAATAATTAAAATAGTATACAAATACTTATATAAATTTAATTTATGTTATGTTAATAATTTTATATAATGTTATTATAATACATATAATATAAAACAAGAGAGAACGCTATAGTCGAGTGCCTCGACTATTAGATACTCGTTACTCAGCTAAACAACTTAATATAAATATGCCTTCTTGTATGTTTTAATAGAAATCCTTATCGAGAATTAACGTTGACTCTGTTGAGCACATTGGCCAGCTGTTCCAAAGTCATCCGTTAGATGGCGATATTGTATTGCGCCATCTACCCCAAGGCATTGGTACCACGGGCCATGAAAGGCGGAAATGTAGGCGCTAGCCAGGCTTAAGCGTTTAATGGGTTTTTGGGCGTTAGAGTGGGCGTGGCAAACTTTTATTAGGCCAATCGATAGGTATTGACGAAACAAATACATATCAATTCAAATTTTCATAATAGCATCAAAACTGTGGCCACAGATTGTGGCTTGTGGGCGTGGGGGAGGGGGCGTGGCACCATTTTGAAACAAACTTGCGCTGCGTAGGAACTCCTAAAATCTACATGCAAAATGCCAATCTTCTAGCTTTTATAGTTTTCGAAATCTCAGCGTTCATACGGACAGACAGACTGATCCTGAACAAGAATATATATACTTTATAGGGTCGGAAACGCTTCCTTCTACCTGTTACATACTTTTGCACGAATACAATATACCCTTTTACTCTACGAGTAACGGGTATAAATACCACATATTTTTAAATCCATATATTTAAAATACAATGAAAACAAAAATATTCATCCTGTTCAATCGCAAAATTTCTGAGGTTCCTAAAAATCGTTCACTCGTCGCACGCTGAATACCCAAATGACAATTATGCCAATGTGAAGTCATCTATGAAATAAATGATGAATCTTAATATACGTAGAAATATTTGGTCATTACTTAAAAATATACTACATTCCAATAATCATATAAAGGCAATATTAAATAAGTATTTTTAATAACGTTAGAATTTTAAAATAAAGAGTATATTTCGACAGCGCGCTGCAGCGAAGAAATGCTTGTGAATACAAGCGCTCCCTCGCTGGCTTTTGGGCACGAGAGCGAAAAGGCAGTTAAGCCAGCACAAAAAATTCGTGTGCAAAAAAATCGTGTGGCGCTATGCATCTTAGAGATTATATTGGTCTCCGGTTTGAGCCTTTGGATCCAAACTAAGAACTGCTCAATTTTTTCCGGCCTAGTGTGGGTTCAAAGTTAAAGTTACCGAGATATGTACATAACTCATTTATTGATAAAAAACATGCGTTAGAATAAAAGTCAATACACCTTTCCTCCCATAGAAAATACATGTGTTAAAAACAGACGGAAAGAAGTCACTACAACTCGTTGTTGTGAGAAGTTTGCCCTGGAGTGACCCAAAATGCTTTTGCTTTTAGTATTTGTATGATTTTTATTTAACACTTATTTTTGATAAGGCTATTCATTGTAGACAGGTCACCCGGTTTAAGGGAATTCCATTAAATGTAAAAAATCAACAAAAGCCAATTGTATTTCATCAGAAAGGTAATGAAGTATACAAATATGTCGCAGTTCTTGGAATTATTTGAATTCTAGAAGCCGTTTTCGTATTTCGCTGGTATCGAAGCTGATGAGAGGGGTGACAGCCGGTTGATTTTCCCTGGACCGCATTGGTCAGGGGCCCTGCAGCGAGAAATTTGTTACTAAAATTTAGATGTTAAGGCAAATCAAGAAAGAAAAATATAAATCAAAAAGTCCACTTTTGTTCTGTGACTAAACTCATTTAGCTTCTGATGTACATATAACACTCTCTCGACGGCCCTGTCCATTATTCCTAGAAGGCGACCTATTCCTAGAATCCAAAGTGCTCGTTCTTTCTGAAGAGCGAGACCGCAATGTTAGCGAGATAGTATTGCCAGACCTTTTGGAAAACGGCATAACCGTCGAGTGTGGCCCGGTTGCGCAGGTGGAAGAGGGATCATGAGCTCGGGAAAGAAGAGACGTTGTCGTTAAAGAGCGCGACACTTCGATTAGTACAAGTGTTATGGTTGCATTAAAGGCCTAGAATCGAGCATTGATGGAACTGGAACACAAGGATGGACCTTGTTTTCGTGTATTGACAAATTATTTCTAAAGATCCCAAAAAAAGCGGGAGTGGGTGCTCCATTCTTGGGCAAATCAGGTGTGGTCATAGCCGGTCAAAAGTTAATCAGTCTGTCACGGCCGAGAATCCATAAGTCTGCCGCGTGACGTCTGCGGAGGCGCCGTCGACCCAGTGGTGTTGCAAGATGTCTTGCCAGACAGTTTGCAAGTGTGAGCAAACGTTCCCGGTATCGACTTGACGATTTACAAATCGTCTCAGTTACCGTCGGCACTCCCGTGTCCTGGAACATAACTCGGTTTTCTACATAATGGTGCCACTTCACTCCTAGCATCCTCCTGAGAGCCATTTTAATGCACGTTTGCACCCTTTTTAGTGACGAATCACAGGCCGTGCCCCAGCAAGTGATTCCCCAGTTTAAAGTTGGAAGGACAATGGCCTTAAAAAGCCGCACCTTGACTTCAAGGGATAGGCCGCTACCTGGATGAAGGAGCCAGTCCATTTTGTCAAGTTTTTTTCTTGCTGATCCACAAACTCGATCAATTTGTCCCTTCCAACAAAGGCGACGGTCTAAGGTAACTCCGAGGTACGTCACATTATCTTCGTGCTTGAGCCTATTCCCATCAATGTAAAGGCTACGCGAACGGCCAGGGCGGAGAGCAAAAGTGGCATGCTGCGTTTTGTCAATAGTAAGCGCAATGTTCCATCGAGAGGCCCAGCACTCAAATTCGTCTAAGAATGTCTGGATACGTCGGGACGTATACAGGACCGGACCAAGGACGCTTCCCTACAGGATACCAGCACGAATTGGGCGAAGTCCAGAACGGTGTCCACGAATATCTACAGCAAACTCCCTATTATCTAAGAACGATACAATGAGATTCCAGAGTCTTTCAGGCAAAAGCTTGTAGAACAGTCCTTCGTGCCAAACCCTGTCAAAGGCCTGTCGAACGTCGAGAAAAACGGCTGAGCAGTATTTGTGGTATTCGAAAGCCCCAGAACATGGTTAATTACTCTGTGCACTTGCTCGATAGCACTATGGCGACTACGGAAACCAAACTGGTGGTTCGGAAGTGCGTCTTCAAAGGCGTTAATAGCTAGAAGTCTACCAAGCATGATCCGCTCAAAAATCTTGGAGAAAGTGGACAGCAAACTAATCGGCCTATAAAATTCCGGGCAACATGGGTATTTTCCTTTTTTTGCCACCATTGTGACTAATGCTCGTTTCCAAGGTGATTGAAAATAGCCTAGGTCCAGGCAAGCATTAAAGAGGAGACAGAGCTGTGCAATGACTGAGCTAGGCAGAGCCTTTGCTACTTTGCCATCAATCGCGTCCATACCAGGAGCTTTAGTACTAACCAGTCGCTTTATATGACCACGTTCCTCATCTTCGTCTACTGGACGGACAGTAACAGGAAAGCCCTAACCTAGAGATTGTTGTCTGGACTTCTTCGCTTGTTGCAAATTCAAATGGAGTAAAGCCATTTTCAAGATCATCAGCAAATACTTCAGCAATCTCGGAATCTCTGTGGGCTCAAGTCCCGTCTTTTAAGGTTGCGGCTGCATTTCCAGAGCGCAAATCCGTGATTCTGGTTAGGATTAATTGGATTAACTGAAACTGTGGTGCGCATTCCAATCCCCTCCAATGAGAAAGCGGCTACCTACAGAGCTAAACAGACGCAGATATTCCTCAGTCGTCCAAGAAAGGTGGTGACCAGGTGGACAGTAGATAGCAACAAATAAAATTCTGCAAAACCCAGTGACCAAACTTATGGCAATTGCTTGCAGGTGAGGCTCCGATATTGTGGCGCTTAGGTGATAATCTAAACAGGATTTGACGATGACAGCAGCACCACCTAGATGTCGATTATCAGGGTGGTTGGCAGAGTGAACAGCATATCCATTAATGTGGAAGAATGAACGGCTGATAAAATGTGTCTCTGAGATTAATAAAATGTCAATGTTGCGTTCCTGGAGGAGGTGCTCAATCTCGAGTGATTTGCCAACTAAGTTGTTGGCGTTCCAAATTTCCGATTTATACCGTAATTAGTCATCGCAATGCGTTGACCCTGATAGATTGGCGTGCTTAGAAATCATGCTTTGTAACATTTGTAGTGTTGTCGTCATTACTGACATCATTTGATCAAAGCGTAACAAAACTTATCAATTGCAGCCGCTTGGGCTATCGCAGCAGCCTCTTGTTGCTTCCTTAATCCATTAATAAATTCCAGAAGCCTGTCCTGGTTGTTCAATCAAGGAGGTCTTTTCACTTGGATGTGAATTAGCCGTTGGCGAAGTCTGACTTAAGGATGCAGAAAGACGTGTAGAAAACCAAGCATTTTGAGCCGGGGGCATGGCAGGCTAAAAAGTACGTTTTTGAGTGGGTCTACGCTCTACAGAACCAGTGGGCTTACGTCTTTCAATAGCCTCTAAATAGGCAGGCATCGACGGGAAGACGCACTATGATTAGAACCAAAGTTAATGCACTTTAGTTGTTCATAATTTATGGCCAACCACCTCTCCTTGTCTTTTATCTCATGGTCACCAGCACATCTGGCACACTTTGGCAAGAGTGAGCAAAAATTTTCAGAATATCCAAATTCTTGACATGGGTAACACCTTAAAGAACCCTTTTTCTGAAGCTGCGGTTCCACATTAATCACCTGGTAGTCAATTATCTGGATATCATATACATTTTTGTTGTTTCTAGCTGGTTCCAGTTCAACAAGGAATATATCCCGGTTCGCCTTCCCATTTTCACCAGGGGGGTTGAGTATATTCCGAGGGTTGTGTCCCAGTACTTTAAGTTTTGCAGTAATTTCGGCTATTTCAGTGGAAGCGTGAAGTCCCTTTAAAGGCTCGTTCATTTTTAAACTGAAAAGTGCTGACAGGAATTCCATTATCCTTGAAAAGCTTTTGGACTACACGGTAAACATTGCCGTCATCCACAGTAACCCTACAGGTGCGAAAACCATTGGTCACAGAAGATAGTAAGGCAATTAGTTGCCTAAAATCAATGATTCCCCTCAAAAGGAAGGGTGAAGGTCAAAAAATGGTCATAGGGACAGGTGAGGTGTCTGAATAAATGGAATCATCAAATTCATCAGAAGTATCAGAGAGGCACCTATTGACAAGGCAGTTTAGTTGTTGTTACAGATCGTCACGGCTACCCGTAAGCATGGATTTTAAAAGCGAGAATCCAAGTTAGAAAGGTGTGTCAAGACGATGGATACGACGAGTTTTTCCAGTTCAATAGATTTGAAGTTTCGACTTATGTGTCGGACTAACCGGGCTAAATACGGGAGCCTTGAAATAAACACAACCGGTTAGTCTGACACATAAGTCGAAAATTCAAATCTATTGAACTGGAAAAACTCGTCGTATCCATTGTCTTAACACACCATTCTAACTTGGATTCTCGCTTTTAAAATACATGCTTACGGGTAGCCGTGACGATCTGTAACAACAACTAAACTATGCAAGGCGAAGCGAATCTGTGGGTGGCAACGAAGTCGAAAGGAACATGAAAATGCCATTTCAAGTAAAGTGTCATTACTGTGGGAGAATTGGACATAAAACTGCGGACTGTCTCAAAAGGCGAAATGAAGAACGACACCGGACCAGCGCAGCTCTAGAACAAATGAGGGGAGCTAAGTCATTACGCATCGTATGTTCTCTCGTAAAGGAAAGCGTAGCGGCGAAGTTACAAGGAAAACGTCTGTCTAGCTCAGTGAACTTAAGGGGTATAGGGAATGATCCTGTATCCTTTGTAATGTTAATATTAACGAACATTTTCCAGGAATAATGCTTCATGTTATAATGGATAAGTTTCTTAATTTTGATACTCTTAGTCAAGGCTTTAGAGTTGTAATCGAAGCAAATAAATTCAAAATTCATAAATCAAACAATGTACTTTCAATTTTAATAATGATTTAAGTGAATTTATAAAGGTAAGATTAACTGAAATATTGGGAAAATATTAGTCGTTTATCGGAAATAATTGAGAAATTACAAAACGATGAGCTGGATGCAAATTTATTTAGAACCTTCGAGTTGAGAAGAGTCATGTTTCATCAAAAAATTCAACGTAACGGTGGAACACGTTGCCTACCCGTAACAAAAACAATTTTTTACCATCCGCATTCAAATCAAAACAAAAAAAAACACAATTATCGCGTTAGACATTCAATCGCTAACTTGATGCAATGTGAAGTACATTGGTTTTAAGAGATTGTGTAAAAGTAATCTTACTTTGCTTATCTCTCTATCGTGGATGTATTTTTTAAATATCTATAATTTATGTCTAGTGTTTTTGATTAGGGTATATCTTATATTCCCGATAAAATGAAATTTTGGATTTCTTATTTTATACTTTTGCAGTGTATTTTGGTATTACATATAAATCGAAATTTAGTCGATTTGTAATAACTGCAAGGGATTATAAACTTCGGCTTGCCGAATTTGTCTTCCTTTCTTGTTTGCTTTCTTTTTCTTTTTAAGGAGTGAGTTTTAAGGTTGACAACTTATCAGAAATATTGATCTCAAGGAAGTCGAAAACAACTATAAATACATACTTAAAGGGTACGTTATTCGAATTTGTAAATACCTAGAGAAGCATAGTAATCACTAAAAGACGACAAGTGATCACGAAATTCGGCTGCAGTTGATAGAGCCAAATATATTTGGCTTCGTCTGCCATCAGCGCCAATCTGAAATTCAAAATTCAATATAAATAAAATCTTCTTAAATCTATAAGGGTTACAAGTTACATACATATATACATGAGTTTCATTGGACCTAATTTTTGAATTCCAATTTTGTTCAATTAAAAATAGGATAGTTAAAAAAGTTTAAATAGATACCATAAATATTTAATATTGGTTCAGGGGAAATTTTATGCATTGGAAATCGTGTTTATTTTTGTTGAAATTTTTAATTTTTTTTTTTCCACTTTTAATTTTTAAAAAAGTACTGGGGAAAGGATTTGTAATAACAAAACGTTTGATATGAGCTTCGTAGATTAAAGTTTTTATTTTATTACAAAACAAGAAAGGAATGCTAGCTTCGGGCGGAGCCGAAGTTGATATACCCTTGCAGAATATTCTGTAAATTATATTCTCCAAAATTATTCATTCTTAATACTCATAAAAATCCCAATGGTTATGGCATTTCCCACCGTTCAGTTATATGGCAGCTATAGGATATAGTCGGCCGATCCTCATGAAATTTGATAGGTCGGATTGATTGTCTTCCCACTGAACATTTTAAAAAATGGAGGGAAAAAATCAAAAAACCCGTAAAAGTCGATTACAGGAGTTTTCTTGTGAGGGAGTTAATCTTTGGGGGTGCCTCTTGTCAGAACAAAGTGTTTCTTAAGCCTAGTATCCAGATCGACGAACGATTACGCTGGCGTAAAAACTTTAATCTTTCCAGTGTGATCAAAATTTTGAGAGTTCATCAGATTTAAGCGTGCTACGGTCGTACTGTCAATCAGCTGGCTTTGTTGACAAGCAGTTAACATTCAAATATCGTATTTGCGGGAAAGAGCCCTTAAAATATATTATCAAATACCTTGGCAAGACAAGTCTGCCGCTGTACAAAGAAATTGAAAAACAATACAATTTAAATTTAACAGTTGTTTTTTTTTAATTTACTGATAATTATTTGCTAATTTAAAGTTCATAGCTGCACTTTTATTGTGTTTTTTCGTACATTCTGGACCTAAAAAACATTTTGCTCTGACAAGAGGCACCACATATAGTATTAATGTTATTTTGTCCTCACATGTAAACACCTGCAATCAACTTTTGTGAGTTTTTTGAGTTTTTCCCTCCATTTCTTATAATGTTCAGTGAGAAGCGCACGCCAAAAGATTAAATTTTTTAATTACTCCATCTGCCGGAGGAAATATTTTTTAAATCGGTTTGCAGTTATTCCCTTGAAAAGGGTTTTATAATTTCATTGCTAGATCGATGCTGATCAAGAATATATATAGATTATAGGGTCGGAAATGTCTCAACTTTCTGACTTTGTAAATCGAAGCTCTACAAAAGTACAAAAATAAAAGGTATGAAAAGAACTCATTTCTCATTTCCCCTTAATATTTTTTTACTTTAAACTTTTTAATTTTAACTTACTTTCCTTATACACGCGCTTTTTTAGGATCTTACAATTTGACAGCACAAAAACAAAATCCATATCAAAAAAGGTTCAACTAGTAAGCATAGGAACGATCGGACAAATTATCTGGCGGAAGCGGCATAAATTCGTTCTTCACGAATATACATATATGGACAAATATACCTTTACGAGGAAGATGCGACGAGTTATCGTAATTGTTTTTTCGATGTCAGAATACTTTGTGCTAAGCATATATATTCCTTTAGCAATACTCTTGTTCTGGTGAACTCGCGTATATTAAACAATACATTCGGGACTTTTAGTTTTTGAAGCCAACAAATATTTTAGAATGGAAAATTTTTGTTTCTCTGGTTCTGAAGCCTTCGTTTGTCAGGTTCATGAATTCATGTAGAGCTACAAATTATTAAAACTAACTAACTTTTAGTGGTCTATTTTGTTTCCTCTTGTTTTAAAAAAGCTCTGAAATTGGTTGGGAATTATAAAAGCAAAAGTCTAAGAAAAATGCAAAAGTTTTAGGTTATACGTAGAAATAATAAAATACAATAAACATATTTTGGTTGATTCAACCGACAGTACGGTACAAAATGAAACAACAAATTACTTGGTGCCATATAGTTTTTACGTATTCGATATAAGGTAATTATATTCGATTACATATTCAATTTAAAAAAAATTGAACGCCTTTGAGAATGTTAAGATTTTAATCGTGTTGCTTAAAAAAAAAGTAACTTTATTGTTTTGTAAATTCTAAAAATTAATTTTATTAAGTATTAAAAAATCAAAACTAAACATACAATAAATGTAAATGCAATACCCTTGCAGAGGTTAAATTATATATATTCTTGATCAGGATCGCGTCCTGAGTTGATATAAGCATGTCCGTCTGTCTGTTTCTTCGCGAACTAGACTCTCAGTTTTGAAACTTTGCACACACCCTTCGTTCCTTTGCACGCAGTATATAAGTCGGAACGGCCGGGATCGGCCGACTATATATATATAGCCTCCATATAACTGATTGATCGGAAATGCCATAACTTTGGTGTTTGTAAAGTTAGGAAGTTAGGATTTTCTATGGGATTTATATTTGGCCAATCAATCGGACCTACCAAATTTTATAAGGTTCGGCCGACTATATCCTATATAATTAATTCTATAACCGTTACTGCCCATTACTGTCACTCCCTCGCATTATAAAAGAGGCTGAAAAGGGTAGATATGTCAAATTCAAAAGAAGTATGTGTATAAAAAATGCATCATATGAATAATTTTGGAGTTTTAATTTACAGAATATTATGCAAGGAGTAACGTCGGCTCCGCCCGAAGTTAGCTTTCTTGTAAGATAGCTTTCTTTCTTGTCTTAAGTTTGAAATAACACAAATGCTTAAGTCATAGCCCCACAGTGCTTATATTTACCTCTGCAACTTTTATAAAGCGACCTCTTCGATTTTGTTTAACATCCAGATAAAATCGTTTGGATTGTATTTGAAGCATTTTGGTGGCCAATTCCTGCTCCACTCCGCTGCCACCTTAAACAAAAAGAATGGGAGCAAAAGAAAAAGGAAATAATAGACAGACCACTTTATACCTTTTACTGAGGAATCAAACTCGTTCCTACTGGAGGAACCCTCCATGTTTGCGACATTGTATTCTGAAATATTCCAATTTGTATATGTCTGTCGATAAACATAGCTTCCACTTACTTGATCCTGAGATGCCTTCATCTCCGCTTCCCAAATCAGACATAACGAAACGACCTGTATATACAATTTCGTAGCTTGTTAATCAGTCAGACCTTTCCCTCTAAGCACGTTGAATTTTAGCGCCTCTTCTCTTGAGTCTCATACGTCGCCTTCTAATTAAACATGTTACCATTCCTTTTAGCCGGCGAACAACATTCTCCTGCGTAAAACAGAATATAAAATCGATTAAATATCTAGATATGATTTCGGGGTAAAACAAAAGACAGCTTTAGAGTCAGATTCCTAAATTAATTGAAACAGTTTTATTTATCGAGTCTCTCGCCATGGGTCCACAAAAAAAAACAAGCGAAATTGCTATAGGCAAGTGCATCGAATATAAGATACCAATTTCAAAATAATTATGCCCCAGCTGATAATGAATTTCAACAAATTTAGATTTTCGCTCTTCTGCGCTCTATCAAATATTTGAACTCCATTTCTAAACAAGAGAGAACGCTATAGTCGGGTGCCCCGACTATCAGATACCCGTTACTCAGGTAAAGGGAGTGCGAGGGAGATGGAGATAGAAACTTTGATCACGCATAACTTTTTAACGAATGGTCCAATTTGAAAAATTTCTTCTACATTTCGATAGGTATTCATAAACACAATAAAACTGCATTTTTACTTTTCCGAAATATTTAAATTTTTAAAATCATATCTAAGCGATTGTGGGCGTTAAAGGGGGCGTGGCACCTTTTTGAAACAAACTTGCGCTGCGTAGAAACTCCTAGAATCTGCATGCAAAATGCCAATCTTCTAGCTTTTATAGTTTCCGAGATCTCAGCGTTCATACGGACAGACAGACAGACGGACATGGCTATATCGACTCGGCTAGTGACCCTGATCAAGAATATATATACTTTATAGGGTCGGAAACGCTTCCTTCTAGCTGTTACATACTTTTGCACGAATACAATATACCCTTTTACTCTACGAGTAACGGGTATAAATATACAGTGACGTCATAATGAACACTTAATGTCCTATAACTTTTAAAGTAATAGTGCTATTTTAGTGTGTCGAAAGACATTGACCGAATAATTGGCTTAATCGAGTCGGCCATTGATCCTGATCAAGAATATAAACGCTTTCTTGTACCCGTTACTTTTTTCCAATGAATACTGCGATTTTTTTCAAATTGGTGGTAAGATGTTGCAAGGATCTACCATAATAACCAAAGAATATTTAGCCACGGGAAGTCCATCTTATGTTGAGGAAAAAACATCTTAACTTTTATTTCAACTATAGCTTTGCTACGAGTGTCTATGTAAACAAGAAAGAAAGCAAACTTCGGCAAGCCAAAGTATATATATTAAAAACAATAAAGCTTCATACATATGTTAATTTTGCGCTGCATTTTGCCATCGATTTTGACAAAACTAAAAGCGTAATTCTAAGATAGTAAATAATTACTAAATTTTAAAGGAATACTTTGTAAATAGAAAAACACCAAAATAACAATTTTTAATTTTTATTCCTTTTAAATTTTTCTATGGGAGCTATATGATATAGATGTACGATTTTAATTTAATTAAAACCTTAATTCCATAATATTTAAATATTTCAAAATCCCAAAGATATTAAAATAAAAATTAAAAACAGCAATGTTATAATTTTTTTGAACTTTTTTCCGATTGTTTCTATAGGAGCTATATGATATAGTCGCCTGATTCGGCTCGTTCCGACTTATATACTAACTGCAATAGAAAGACAACTTTTGGGAAGTTTTCAAGCAGATAGCTTTAAAACTGAGAGACTAGTTAGATCGGCTCTTCTTGTTATGCTGATCAAGAATATATATACTTTATAGGGTCGGAAATGTCTCCTTCACTGCGTTGCAACATTTTGACTGAAATTATAATACTCTCTGCAATCGTATAAAAAGACTATTGTAGCAATAGCACAGCAATGCAGTTTACTTGAATTTAAAAACTAAATTTCTTAAAAAAATACAACATTTTTTACTATTAATTGATTTGCTAAAAAAAAACTATTGGTTAAACGGTTAAACGTCAAGAATTAATCGCTTCTTTTCAATTGCCCCTATAACATGTAAGAAACAAAGTTCTTAGAAAGTATATAAAGGTAAAAGAAAAGTTGAAAAAAAGATATTTCAGACCACGAAGACAAATAATGGACTGCAACTGACGAAAATCCCAAACATTCATTCAAGCCAGAAGCCCAAAACTCAGATCGACGAAATCTCTTCGGGATGAAAGCGAGTTTTTTGAATTTTAAGCGTTTGTCACAATCACAGCTGATTGAAAGTACGACCGTACCATACTTAATTCTGATGAACTCTAAAAAAAATGCCTTCACACTGGAAAGATTAAAGTTTTTCCGTTAGCAAACTCGTTTTTCCATCTGAGTACTAGGCTTTTATTTAAAAATCTTTTTTATTTCGACACCTGTCGAATATGAACAAAGCATAATAGACAGTAAAAAATTTAAATTAAATAAAAATTAAATTGAAACATTGTGGCGCTTTAGGCAACTTGTCTCAACTCAATTTTTCTAAATTTAAAAAATAGGAAAATGGAATTCATTTCGTGTGTTTCAGTATATGTATGCGAATTGAACTAAGATATTTCTTTCGATTTCAAATATGCATTTCAAGTTTTATATAAAAAAATACAGCTGCTAATGAACCTAATCGGTAAATCAACAAATCTTTATTGCATTTTACCATTTGTTATATGTAGCTGTGATGCTTGGCGAAGTTGGCTTACTTTTTTTTACATATATGTATACAAATGTACATAAAAAATATCCCTTTGCAATGAAATACAAGTTTGTTCAGAATTTTAGCTTCATTTATATAATTAAATACGTTAACTTTACTTACTTTTAATAAGCTTTAAAGTAAATAAAATTATTTGTTTACATAGTGTGTGTGTAGCTATCTGAAATGTATCAGCTGTTCACTTCCCCCGTTCGTTAAATTGATTCGTTCCAAGCTCAAAAATTTGTTCAAGGTTTTTACATAAATACGAGTAAATGATATTTTGCACAATACATACCTATTTATGAACATTCAAAATATGGTAACCTGTGTCTTTTATTAACATATCTATCTATGTGTGTCTGCTCTACGTAAATACATAAATTTCAGGAAGTTGTGCCTAGTAATTCGAGATAGTAAATCGACAATGTTTAAAATCAAAGAGTTTATATAATTAGCAAAGCAATTTCTCTGTAAATACGATTATTTCCCATTCTTTCAATAAAGCTTTCCATGAGTACATATTGGCCCAGCTCAACAGACATGACACTTCACATAATCATAGTAAACGGTAACAACAAATATGAAATCTTTATAGCTGTTCTCGTGCTGCCTCATCGACATCTCAATTGCAGCTTAGATTAATTTCACTTTTTAAATCCAAGTAGAAATAAGATAGAATAAAATACGTACAACTACAACACACACACACACACACAGCGCCTTACGACTGACATCGACACTCGCTTATTTTACGTATCCGTCGAATACTATAATTCGTGAGAACGGGAGTGAATCCCAAACAGTTTATATCGAAATACCTTAACGCATCTTTAGGAAGCCAAATTAAAAGGCGTGTTTAAATTTTTGCAGAATCTCAACAACAATTTACCCATGTTCATAAGTGCTCTTTATCGGTGGATAAAGTTACTATTTAATTAATAAACTATCCCAATGAAAGATTGTTTAAGTGCACCACTGACCTAAACGCGCTAGAGTCTTTCTCAAAATCCCGTTTCGAGTGCAACGTAAGAACAAAACGTACCGCAACGCACCACATAGTAGCGAGTTGCTTACGTCAATTCGGTCGAAAAAAGCTTAGAGAAATGGAATCGATAAAACGACGATTAACGGGTGATGGACGTGCTTAAGAACCAAAGAGATATTGTATCGTGTTAACATTTTTTAATGTTTGAATAACAACCATTTCTTTCGGTACAAGTTAGAGATGGAAAAACACCAATGATAACCTGCCAAATATCGATATTACCTATATTTTAAAAACATCGATGACATTGTCGGTTTATGTACGTCGTCTCGGTCGAAAAAGCTTATATGAACTGCACATAAGTCAGCAAAGCTTTCTTTTCTCGTCTTTCTATTTGCGGCTTTATTGGTGTCGGTTGCTGTTCGTGGCCTGTCGTCGTGTACTGTGTCGAATGAACAGAAAGTTGAAAATTATCATATATCTCATCCAAAGTTCTGTTTTGTTTTCTGATTACGATACATCTGCGATACAGTGCCATTTAACTCCTAACTGCAGTGTGAAACGTGTGTGTCCAGTTTGTTCGCATTCTGCCTCTCTAAACTGATGTGTGTGTGTATGTATGCATACACTACAATATATGCACATACATATGTCTGCATATACATACGAAATCGAAATTATGCAAAATGTGCAATATAATGCGAAGCCAAGTTAAGGAGCAGTGCTTCAAACAAGAAATTGATGAAAATGTAACTTTTATGTATGTGTGCGAATTCCCCTGTACTTATCCTGTGCTCAAGCCGTCGAACGAAACGTGAGTACATGCTCATGTACTTGCAGAAATATTCTCTACATAAATTCATACAGGCAAACAAACTTATTTTTGTTGGTCGAGTCGTCGTTTTCTCCTCCTTCCTCTCGCCTTGCTCACGTTTCTCTAGCTATTGCCACAGCCGCTGTGGAAAGCGAAAACAGAAGCAGAAACATCATCATCTCTAGCAAAACCACAGCCAGGAATACATATATGTATATACCATATACATACATAAATGAACGCATATACATGTGAACAAAAAAACGAGTCGAATGGCGACTAGTCTTTTATCTTTTATTTTGGTATCGGGTCCGTGTGTTTGTATTTCGTATCCGTGAGTCCGAATCCAAATAGGTAGGCACAGCACAGCATAGCATATAAAGAATATTATACGTAAAAATAAATTGATATATACATTTGTGTATGTTTGCACATGTCTCTGTTTATGTATTTAACTCATGCACATATATACATACATTAACATGTATGCATTTTTTTAATAATACATAAAATTGCACAATGCCCTTGCAAACGAAATTTTGAATTGCTGGAATCGGAAAACACTCGTACAAATTCAGAGATCCTTAAGATTCCAAAATTTGTCGTTTCTTTTTTACTACTTTTAATAGAGTGTTGAGATGTTGCTTAGCGTCAATGAATATATCTTGCCTATGGGGGTATTTAAGTCAAATATAACGGTCAGAAAAAGCAATTTCAATGTCTAGTAATTAAACCGAAAGTTAAAAAGTTAAGTAATATCAGAGCTTTTGATTTTTGGTCTATGAATTGTAGTTAATTAAGTTTATCTTCTTATTTTGTGTACGTTCTTAAATTTAAATATGATGTACAGGCCTATTTCATCAAAATAAATTTCTGGGTCATTCCTCAAAATTAATGGGTTAGCATCTTAACACCTTTTGTGAAAATTGGTTTTATCCATATTTCTAGGCTTTAATTATTTAAAGAAACGTCCTAAAAATTTGGATTAAAAAAATTTTCAAGTCTTTAAAAGAGACAAACTTTAAATTTGTTTTTCTTGAAACCTTGTTTCTAAGTTTGTAACCAAAAATTACTCAGCAACGACTGAACCATTGTTCTTTTCCATTTTTACTGTTAAGACAGTCACTAAATATCTTTAATTGACACATTTAGCATAGCCTAAAAATAACTTTTTATAAGCATTTGGAAACTTCAGATTTTATTTTAGTAGAAGCTTAAAAAGTATAAACGAAAAGTGGATACTATTTAGCTAAACTTTTCTTAAAAAAACAAATTTTTGTAATTCATAATAGATTTTATACCGTAATTTTTGGCGCGCAAAATAATGTTCTACGAAAAAAACGATTAAGATAAGTACGCTGCCGGGGTAATCATTCAGTTCGAGTTTGAAAGACTCTACATACATACATATGTACTTATTAACGCCAATGTTACTTTTTTGTTTTCTATTTTGCTTAATCTTCTAAAGTTAAATTTTTATTTTTTTCCTCTAAAAATTTTAGACAACCAAATTTTGGCACATATGCACTTTATTATACCCTTGCAGAGGGTATTATAATTTTGGTCAAAAGTGTGCAACGCAGTTAAGGAGACATCTCCGACCCTATAAAGTATATATATTCTTGATCAGGATCACCTCCTGAGTTGATATAGCCATGTCCGTCTGTCCGTCTGTCCGTCTGTCTGTCCGTCTGTCTGTCCGTCTGTCTGTTTCTACGCGAACTAGTCTCTCAGTTTTAAAGATATCGAACTGAAACTTTGCACACACCCTTCTTTCCTTTGCACGCAGTATATAAGTCGGAACGGCCGGGATCGGACGACTATATCCTATAGCTGTCATATAACTGAACGATCGGAAATGCCATAACTTTGGTGTTTGTAAAGTTAGGAAGTTGAGATTTTCTATAGGTTTTATTTTTGGCCAATCAATCTGACCTACCGAATTTCAAGAGAATCGGCCGACTATATCTTATAGCTGCCATATAACTGAACGATCGGAAATGCCATAACTTTGGTGTTTGTTAAGTTAGGAAGTTGGGATTTTCTATGGGTTTTATTTTTAGCCAATCAATCCTACCTATTAAATTTCATAAGGATCGGCCTACTATATCCTATAGCTGCCATATAACTGAACGATTGGAAATGCCATAACTTTGGTGTTTTTAAAGTTAGGAAGTTGGGATTTTTGATGAGTATTAAGAATGCATCATATGAATAATTTTGGAGAATATAATTTTCAGAGTATTCTGCAAGGGTATATCAACTTCGGCTCCGCCCGAAGTTAGCTTTCCTTTCTTGTTTTTATTTTCAAATGATTTAATAATCAGGCATAACTACGTATAAAAACAGGATAATTCAACTGCAACTTTGAAAAAACTATTCACTCCAAATAATAAAAAAATCTACATTTTGTAAAAATGTTTTTTTTTACATTTTTTATACCCTTGCAGAGGGTATTATAATTTTGGTCAAAAGTGTGCAACGCAGTGAAGGAGACATCTCCGACCATATAAAGTATATATATTCTTGATCAGGATCACCTCCTGAGTTGATATAGCCATGTCCGTCTGTCCGTCTGTCCGTCTGTCCGTCTGTCCGTCTGTCTGTCCGTCTGTCTGTTTCTACGCGAACTAGTCTCTCAGTTTTAAAGATATCGAGTTGAAACTTTGCACACACCCTTCTTTCCTTTGCACGCAGTATATAAGTCGGAACGGCCGGGATCGGCCGACTATATCCTATAGCTGCCATATAACTGATTGATCGGAAATGCCATAACTCTGCTGTTTGTTAAGTTAGGAAGTTGGGACTTTCTATGGGTTTTATATTTGGCCAATCAATCCGACGTACCAAATTTCATAAGGATCGGCCGACTATATCTTATAGCTGCCATATAACTGATTGATCGGAAATGCCATAACTTTGGTGTTTGTAAAGTTAGGAAGTTGGGATTTTCTATGGGTTTTACATTTGGCCAATTAATCCGACCTACCAAATTTCATAAGGATCGGCCGACTATATCTTATAGCTGCCATATAACTGATTGATCGGAAATGCCATAACTTTGGTGTTTGTTAAGTTAGGAAGTTGGGATTTTCTATGGGTTTTATTTTTGCCTAATCAATCCGACATATCAAATTTCATAAGGATCGGCCGACTATATTCTATAGCTGCCATATAACTGAACGATTGGAAATGCCATAACTTTGGTGTTTTTAAAGTTAGGAAGTTGGGATTTCTTATGAGAATTAAGAAGGCATTATATGAATGATTTTGGAGAATATAATTTGCAGAATATTCTGCAAGGGTATTTCAACTTCGGCTCCGCCCGAAGTTAGCTTTCCTTTCTTGTTTTCCCTTAACCTTACCCAGATTACTGGAAAATTGAGAACCTTTTACTATACCGTGGTTTTCATTTCCATAAATTACCTAATAGCTACTTTACCTAGACTCTTCCGCCACATTTTATATAAATATATACATACATATATATAAACCCCGTAATAATGCTAAAAAATGTAGTACACATTTTTTTTTACCATAAAGGAAAATTTATACGTTTCAAAAGTAGTCACTCATAAGAATATACTAACATTTTTAGATGAGTTGATTTCGATTTTTGATTGGGATACTTTTTTTTGCACTGCCAATCCGTCTGTCCGTCCGTCTATCTGTATGTCCGTCTATCCCTCTATACCCTCTGCAAGGGTATAACAACAAAATTGTACATTTTTAGGGACAAGGTAGACCATTCTTCTTTTGATTTTGTTTTGGGATAAAGTGTTATTTGCAGACGAGTCAAAACTTAACCTTTTTGGTTCAATATGTTTGGCGGCGACCTTATACGGAGCTTGAAAACAAACAACTAAAAGCCACGATCAAGCAATTTTAAAGAAAAACCTGCTGCAAACTGCTGAAAAACTGGGCATACGCGATCAATTTCGGTATTAACCAGGATAACAATCCTAAACATTCAGAAGCATGTAGTGAATCCACCTGCCCAGTCACCATACCTTAACGTCATTGAAAATTTTTGTGCAATTTTGGATCTTAATTGTTTAGTAATATTACAAATTTTTGTTGTATTTTTGCTGCAGAGCAATTGGCTACAAGGGCCCTTGAAATTTGTATGCACCACTGTCCTTACTACATTATTTTGCGTAGAAAATGTTATAATGGAATCAATTCCTGACTTTAACCAAGCACAGATGAAATTGTATTTGCATACATAAAATGTAGAGATTTCCGTGACAACATTTTTTGACTAGCTGCTATTATAAGTGTAGTTTTTGAAAACCATTTTTTTTGGTTTGGTTTTCTTAGTTAAATTTTTTTGTTATATATTTTAAGATTTAAAAGACAATATTGTTTTCACACGACTAAAATGTGTTTGATTTTGTATACATATTGGTTCGCGGGCTAAGGCGCGTTGTATACTGCTTAGTAACTGTATATTTTGTCTCACAAAAACCATCTCTCAAACTCACACAAACTCACAATTTGAGCTTTTTCGAGAGTGCGTACTCATTTGGCTGTTGTTTTTGATTTTGCTAAAATTTCTGGTACAGTAGTTTGGACACATACATATGTAAGCACAAACATTTGTGCATGTGGGCTCATACATATAAATGCAAGTACGTGCACACATTCAGAGCTTGCCACTGCCATTTTTCGCTTCGTTGCATTTTGGGGTTTTGCTAAATATTGTGTGTATGCATACATATTTCTATCAAACGTATTTACCAGTCCCGAAAGGAACACTCTAAAACATATTTGCATACAATGATTAAAAAAATAATACTCCCCCTAAAATACTTTCCAAAGTCCTCATATATATTAAAACATCGGCAAGCCGAAGTTTTAATACCCTTGGAAACTTTGCCGAAATTGCTAAAATTGAAAAAGTAGCGAAAGGAATAAGGTATACATAAATAAATTAGATTTGCATAGTTTCATGTCAATAGCTTTTATACTGCAAAAATGTCATATAAAAATAGAAAAAAAAAGGTTATTTTCGCAGCCTTTAACAATATTTCCTACGGAAGCTATAAGATATAGACGTCCAATCGGCAACCGCTTTTACCCTGGTCAAGGTATGCTCAAGTAAATAAGACCTGGAAAAATGCATGTCAATAACTTATATAGTGCGCGAAATTTCCTTAAAATCATTAAATTTTAACCCTATTGTTCCTATGGGAGCTATAGGATATAGACGTCCGATCGGCAAGCGCTTTTACCCTGATCAAAATATGCATAAAAATATAGGATTTGGAAAGATTCATGTCAAAAGCTTTTAAACTGCGCGAAATATCATCAATTCTTGCAAGGTATATCCGATTGTTTCTATGGGAGCTATAGGATATAGACGTCCGATCGGGGTCCGCTTTTCAAACTTAACCTGCGTACACATGTTTTAGGACGACTGTGAAGGTTTCAGATCGCTAGCTTTTAAACTGAGCTCGCAAACGGTATGGAAATAGACGGACAGATGGACATGGCCATATCGACTCCCCTATTGATCCTGATCAAGAATATATATACTTTATGGGGTCGGAAACGTCTCCTTTACAGCATTACATACTTCTGACCAAAATTGTAATATCATCTGCAAGGGTATAAAAATATCACGACAAGCTCAATTCAATGGTAAATTATATAAAATCTATGTGTCCCAAAAACTGTTTTTTACTATATCAGAATTACTCCTTTAGTTATGTTAAAATCGGACACAATTATTAGATAGCTGCTCGAAATGTAGTCGTTTTGTATTAACTGCAAGGGTATATAAACTTATTTATTTCTTGTTATTACAAAATTTTGTGACGAAAATAATAAAACATTCTCACTCTCTAAAATTTTCTCCTTCGGCCCACTTCGCAGATATTTAAGCACCTACCATCTATTTGTTGTATATAGAGATGTTTAACACAATTGAAATGATTCCAGCACGATATATGCATGTCCACAAAAAGAAAAAAATATTTTAATTTTGGAAAGAGCCCTAAAATCTTGGTTTTAAGGAATTGGGTTCTTAAAGGATGGGGGCGAACAATTTTTTGTTAAAATAAAACAATTTTTAATGTTAAAATAATTATTTCTAACAAGAAAGAAAGCAAACATCAGCCAGCCGAAGTTTATATACCCTTGCAGTTATTACAAAAAAATGAAGCTATGTCAATTTTGGGCTGCATTTTGCTATCGTTTCTATGGCAGCGATGGTCCGATTTTAATTTATTTAAAAGCGTAATTCCATAATATAATATTTAAATATTACCAAATCCCAAAGAACCAAAAAAAAATAAAAAACAAGAAAGGAAAGCTAACTTCGGGCGGAGCCGAAGTTGATATACCCTTGCAGAATACTCTGTAAATTATATTCTCCAAAATTATTCATATGATGCATTCTTAATACTCATAAAAAATCCCAACTTCCTAACTTTAAAACAAGACTATTAGATACCCGTTACTCAGCTAAACAACTTAATATAAATATGCCTTCTTGTATGTTTTTCGCCGCTCGAATTAGCACCTTGGCCAGCTGATCCAAAGTCATCCGTTATATGGCGCTACGGGCCATGAAAGGCGGAAATGTAGGCGCTAGCCAGGCTTAAGCGTTTAATGGGTTTTTGGGCGTTAGAGTGGGCGTGGCAAATTTTTATTAGGCCAATCGATAGGTATTGACGAAACAAATACATATCAATTTAAATTTTCATAATAGCATCAAAACTGTGGCCACAGCTTGTGGCTTGTGGGCGTCAGAGGGGGCGTGGCACCATTTTGAAACAAACTTGCGCTGCCTAGGAACTCCTAAAACCTACATGCAAAATGCCAATCTTCTAGCTCTAGATCTCAGCGTTCATACGGACAGACAGACGGACAGACGGACATGGCTAGATCGACTCGGCTAGTGATCCTGAACAAGAATATATATACTTTATATGGTCGGAAACGCTTCCTTCTACCTGTTACATACTTTTGCACGAATACAATATACCCTTTTACTCTACGAGAAACGGGTATAAACACCAAAGTTATGGCATTTCCAATCGTTCAGTTATATGGCAGCTACAGGATATAGTCGGCCGATCCATATGAAATTTGGTAGGTCGGATTAATTGGCCAAAAATAAAACCCATAGGAAACCCAGCTTCCTAACTTTACAAACACCAAAGTTATGGCATTTCCGATCAATCAGTTATATGGCAGCTATAGGATATAGTCGGCCGATCCGACATATATACTGCGTGCAAAGGAAAGAAGGGTGTGTGCAAAGTTTCAATTCGATATCTTTAAAACTGAGAGACTAGTTCGCGTAGAAACAGACCGACGGACAGACGGACAGACGGACATGGCCATATCAACTCAGGAGGTGATCCTGATCAAGAATATATATACTTTATAGGGTCGGAGATGTCTCCTTCACTGCGTTGCACACTTTTGACCAAAATTATAATACAATATAGCAACAACCCTTGCAGAGGGTTGAAAGTTGATTGCAAATGTAAAAAAAGTCCTGAAAGTCTGTAAATGTTTAACCATAATACTATATGTGAAAATAGAATCATTTCCTTTTGATTAACTTACCTTTATATTCAATTTTATTTTCAGGCATGCTTATAGCGCATCTGGTACTTAACACACCTAACGAAGTAATTTGATTGAGACTAAGGCATGAGAAATAGTATACGAAATATAATTTTTGATGGAAATGCTATTGGAAACGATCAATTGACGATGGACGTTTTATAAATAGGGTATGCAAGTGGAAAGTGAAAACATCCCACTGATAAGTAGTTCCTTCACTCACGCGCCTACAGTAGCTTCATTAGACTTAGGAATAGCTCAAATACAAGCAATAAGTTTTGTTGCTGCCTTACAGGATTTTATAAGAATTCTGCAGGCTTTGAAATTTTCAGTGACTGGTCAAGCCAAAGTGCAGGGGGCAAAGATTCCCGTTAGCACTGTAATGGCATCAAAGGTGGATGAAAGCTTGGCACCGACAGATGGAACAGTGCCGACATTGACGCCATCAACGCCATACCTAACTAATTCGGAAAGTGGCAACAATAAGAAACCAGAGAAGTATCTTCCCGGCCTGCCTAATAATCGCAAACGGCTGAAGCTGTCCACTCTTGAACTAAACAGCAGCCAGGTCAATGATGTGTGCAATCCAATTACCGACCCTGACGTGGATCAAAATGCAAGAATGTCAGAGAACAAGCCAAATGAAATGGCAAAGCATTTGCCAAGCAACTGCAATAGCGTCATTGAGGGGACATTATCTGTGGACAGCTCAGAGAGAAAAAGTCCAGAGAAAATGGTGCCATTCGATAAACGCTGTTATGTGCCACCAGAGCAAGCATTGGTTACTAGCGTGGAGTTAGTAGTTCCAGCTCCTCAAACCTCTTCATCAAGCATGCCGGTTGGGCAGTGCGAGCAACCAAGGCATGGCGCCCTTGGAGAAGCGCCGACAGCATCGTCATCGATCATTGATAACAAACTGCAGTACAGTACGGCTGGTCTGTATAACTCTAGTAGTTCCACAAGTATATTAGCAAACAATAAAATCGATGGTTGTGCAAATGACTCTTCCAATTTGAACTTAAGAATTCCTACTAAGCTAGCAGTAACGACTGAAACGGGTGATATTTTGCTGGATGATCAAAGGACTTCTTTATGGACGCCTCACCATGATCAGTCTGGGCAGTCGCAGCAGCACATAGAGTCAGCGTCCAGCGGGAGCAAGCAAGAGCCTGTCGATGTTAGTCCAGAACTGATATACCAACATCAGCATCGTCACTCTGATCTTTTACTTCAAATCGAGAAGGAAAGCTCTGGAACGGGTGCATTTTCACAAGCGATTCCAATGGCATTGCAGCCCCACCATAATAATGCGACGCAGGAGCAATATGGCCAAACAGAAGCGCCTTCTATCATGGATAGTCAGTTGCATAATAATTTTTATACACAAATGATGCAGCAGCAGCATCTTCATCAAAATCACCAGCCACAAAGCATGCATGAAAGCAGTCCTCGGCATCAGCAGCATGCAAGTTATGCCAGCTATATCCCCCCTTATCAGAATTCTCCGTTGTTTGGTACCCATCGAAATGATCACCAACGTCAGCACCAACAAGAGCAACCGCTTCAACATCCCATGGAGTGTCATGGGCACCTACACCAGCCGTCCCTTATTTCCCAGCAACATCATTTGCAGCATGAACAGCAGCAAACTCATCAAAACCAACATCAGCCGACACAGCAATCACAGCCATTGCGCGAAGCTTACCATGATCTTATAATGGATGATTTTCACGAGGAGCCGACCACAGCATTCAAACTGTAAGTAGCCATTTATTAGGCAAAACAAAGTTTTAATACCCGAAAATCAATAAGTCAGTTTTAAGAAATTATTCCCGACTTACTATATTTTTCTGAATGCAAAAAACCTGAAAAGTTGACAAAGTCGGTGTACACGATCCTGCAAAATCTGCTGGACGAATCGTACAGTACTTCTTTAGTAAATTCCTTAGGTAACGCTTTTTGTTTTCGGGAACATTTATTATTTTTACAACAACAAATAACTCGTATTTTTGGGCGAAAATCGAAGTTTTCGACTTTTTTTCCCCTTTACCGGGGAAACCACCTCTTCTTCGAGCTGCCGACGGAGATTGCCTATGTCTCACTCACTTTTTAATATTTTAAATGTTGTATTATCACTTGGAAAAACAAAAATGTTACTGAACCTATTCGTATTGCCAATAAAAATTCGTGAAAAATGATAGATTTTGCAAGGAATTAACCATAATTAATTAAATAAATACGGTCCAATACCATGTTATAAAGAGGATAACTTAAAAATTATGAAAACTCCCAATAAAAAGTCAATTTCAATACTTTAATGCAAGTTAAATTTATGAGAGATAAATAAAATCATATCTAACAAGAAAGGAAGCAAACTTCGGCAAGCCGAAGTTTATATACCTTTGCAGTTATTACAAAACGACTACGTTTCGATTTATATGCCTATATCACTAAAAACAATAAAGCTTGTCGATTTTGGGCTGTATTTTACGATGGTGAATTATGTATGGCAGATATATGATATTCTTGTCCGATTTTGACAAAACTAAAAGCGTAATTCTCATAGTAAATAATTACTATATCTCAAAGGAATATTTTGATAAATAGAAAAACAGCAAAATAAAATTTTTTTTTAATTTATCTATGGGAGCTATAAGAAATAGATTACCGATTTTAATTTAATTAAAACCGTAATTCCATAGTATTTAAATATTACCTAATCCCAAAAACCACAAGAAAACAACAAAGTTATACTTTTTAAATTTTATTTCCGATTGTTCCTATGGGAGCTGTATGAGCTGTATTTTCGCCCGACATGGCTAGATCGACTCTCCTGGTGATGCTGATCCTTCTTCACAGCGTTGCAAACTTTTGACCCTCTGCAAGGGTATACAAACATTAACTATCTCATACATTTTAATGCATGAGTAACAAAGTTTGCCAGAAGAAAGCACGTTCTTAATAGGCAAACTTCTAAAATTAAAACAGAGCAACCTAAAGATCCGTATCACCGAACTTGGCTAAAAGTATTAATAAAGTATTAATAATTAATGTATAAATAATATGACATATAATACTCTGCTGTCTAACCATTTTTACGCTGTATCGAAACACTGTGCCAATATATCGAAACGAAAATCTGAAACTTTAATTCAATTCGTTATTTGGTTGACCAATTTTAAAATTTTAATGGAATATAAGAATTGGGAACCCTTTGTTTTTTTTTTATACTAACAAAATAAGTAAACAATTATTAAATAAACGTTATCGTTAAAAACCTTTTTTTAAATTTGTTTTTAAATCTTTTGGCCGTTAGAGTTTTTGTAGAATTTCGAATAGTAATAATGGTTGGCCTTATATTCTCATATTCTATTTTCATATAACTATTTAAAAAATGTTTTTCAGAACGCTCTCTCCAAGCAACGCAAAGCCTGAAAATCAAGATGATGGGTACGAGACCAGTGCTGGCGACGTTTTAACTCCGAATTCGCATAGTTCGTCCACTCACTCGGTTACCCCTCAACACCAAATGCAACATCCTAACATCGTGCTTTTGTCGCAAAATCAGAAAAAGTCTGATGAGCTGCTATTGGCAAAGAATCCCCTCTCTGGAGAAGCTCACAATGACCCCAGTGCATCTTCATCCAACGGTAATCAAGTACAGGTTTCCGCCTCCCAGACACATATCGAGCTAAGTGGGGGCACTCGGTGCTCCAGTCATGCATCTGTGGTCGATCCGTACAGTTTTATGGGTGAGGAAATGCGAATGCATTCGGCAGCCCATCGCCACATGGAAAATGTAACGACTGGAACGACGGGATACGCGACAGGACCAGTTTCAATGCCAACGTCAAATGGTGCTCCAGAGTGTTTAAGCGGAGAAATATACCAACCCACCCAACATAGTACAATTATTTTGGAACAAACTGATAACTCTCAATGTGGCTTACACTCTAAGCCGACACCAAAAAAGAGAGGGCGCAAAAAAAAGTTGGTTGCTGACAGTACTGAAACCACGCAATTAACAACACAAGCGATTCAACAGGAGTAAGTAAAACGTTCGTCGTTAAAATAGATATATCTCAATTATAATAAATAACAGGAAGAAAAGCTATATTCAAGTGATTCGATTATGGGTATCTTATAGATTGATCAGCTAACCAATTAAAAAAACAAGAAAGGAAGCAAACTTCGGCAAGCCGAAGTTTATATACCCTTGCAGTTATTACAATTCGACTACATTTCGATTTCTATGCCTATATTACTTAAAACAATGAAATATGTCGATTTTGCGCTGCATTTTGCCATCGTTTCTATGTCAGCTATATGATATTGTTGTCCGATATTGACAAAATTAAAAATGTAATTCTGATATAGTAAATAATTACTAAATCTCAAAAAAAATATTTTAATAAATAGAAAAACACAAACATTTTTTTTTTTAATATTTTTACCCTTTCAGAGGGTATTATAATTTTGGTGAAAAGTGTGGAACGCAGTGAAGTAGACATATCCGACCCTATAAAGTATGTATATTCTTGATCAGGATCGCCTCCTGAGTCTGTCCGTCTGTCTGTTTTTACGCAAGTTTTTAAGATATCGAATTGAAACTTTGCACACACCCTTCTATGCTATATAACATGACTTAATCGATTCGGCAGTTGATCCTGATCAAGAACATATATACTTTATAGGGCCGGAAACACTTCCTTCTACCTGATACTTGTTTACTCTACGAGTAATGGGAATAATTATTCCATTGTGGTCTTATTCTGAACTGGTAACTGCTAGTAGAGGTACTTTATTACATCGTTTTTCCTTATGTCGACAACAAACAAGAGTTATAGGGATATTCTTAATGTTTTTCTATTTATTTTCGAATATGTACTATGGCAGCAATAATATTTGTTCGTTTTTACAATTGTTTTTTTTTAAAGTTCCTATTCCAGTTATATGATTTATTCGTCCAATATGCCCCGTTTCAATATAACCTAGAATAGAAAAAAGACGTCCGTTAGCTTTAAATCTGAGAGGCTACTTTGCGTAAGGACATAATTACTAACGTATTTAATTCAAAAAAAAAATTTTAAATTATTTCGCTTAAAAAAATTTGGAAACAAATAGTACAACGTAAATATAAAAGGTCTTGCTGTAATGGATCTAGTATTTAAGAAATGTTTTTAGGTTTTCAAAACCATATTTTAATTGTGGTACACATACCAAGTTTTTAAACGGCGTTGTCCGACAACTATCATATATTTGGCGTATGGTTAAATGCAAATTATTCTCGCAGTGTAAAAGTTATTATATTATTTTACTAACAGAAAACTTTTCATAAGGGTTTTTTGTATGTTTAACATTATTATGTTAAAAATCATATTTATGAATTCTTATAATTATTTTTTAGCAGATCTGGCGGCACTTCAGTCTGCGAAGATGGTACTGGTGATCTATTGCAAACCATGAAACCCAAGGAACGCAAAAAACATGACAGATTCAATGGAATGTCCGAGGAGGAAGTAATTAAACGGACAATTCCAGATCATCTGTGTGATAATCTTGATATCGTTATAGTGAGTTGTAAATTTCGGATGTTTATACAAAATAATAAATGTAATATAAGCAGAGACTAATAATAACTATCGATTTTTTAACAATTTACAGGTCGGAATAAATCCTGGATTGTTTGCCGCATACAAGGGTCATCACTATGCAGGGCCAGGCAATCACTTCTGGAAGTGCCTTTACTTGGCGGGACTCACTCAGGAGCAAATGAATGCTGATGAAGATCACAAACTGCTAAAGCAAGGAATTGGATTTACTAACATGGTGGCGCGAGCCACCAAAGGTTCAGCTGACCTTACAAGAAAGGAAATAAAGGAGGGCAGTCGAATTTTGCTGGAAAAGCTGCAGAGGTTTCGGCCAAAAGTAGCCGTTTTCAATGGCAAACTAATATTCGAGGTGTTTTCAGGAAAAAAGGAGTTTCATTTTGGTCGTCAACCTGATCGCGTCGATGGCACTGACACCGTAAGTGCTAGTTTTTGCGCTTGTTAAAAATAATTCTCTTAAGAATATAAGAACTCTTTGTTTTCGATTTGGTTGAAAATAGTTATTTTAACATATATATACGTATTTTTTAAACTTATTCGTATTTAAACAATTTTTAATTCTTTATAAGTTTCGACAAATTTCCGGCAACATAAAAAGTGGCAAACCACTGGGACGTTTTTTACCCTTTATCCGTGAAGTAAAAATTGTGTAGTTACGTCGCTTTATTTCATGCCTTGTGTATTATATCCGTACTCGTATTGTAATATTCTTGATCAGGGTTAATAGTCGATTAAGCCATGTCCGTCTGTCTGGCCGTCTCTCCGTCCGTATGAATTTCGAGATATCCAAAATTGGTTAGAACCGGTTATTTTATAGTCGAAAAACTCGATCATGGCCAAACTACCACTAATAAGAATATTGTTATTGTGGATTTGGTGGCGAAGAAAACTCTTTTTTATTTCCAATTATCACTAAGGGCGCTACCAGATTAACGATGAAACAAGAAAGGAAGCAAACTTCGGCAAGCCGAAGTTTATATACCTTGCTGTTATTAAAAATCGACTACATTTCGATTGCTATGCCTATATTACTAAAAACAACGAAGCTATGTCGATTTTGCGCTGCATTCGGCCATCGTTTCTATGGCAGCTATATGATGTTGTTGTCAGATTTTAATTTAATTAAAACCGTAATTCGATTTTATTTAAATATTACCAAATCCCAAAGAACAAAAAAAAAAACAACAAAGTTATAATTTTTTTGATTTCTTTTTTCCGATTGTTCCTATGGAAGCTATATGATATAGTCGCCCGATCCGACTCGTTCCGACTTATATACTGCCTGCAATAGAAAGACAACTTTTATAGGGTCGGAAATGTCTCCTTCACTGCGTTGAAAACATTTGACTGAAATTATAAAAAGAAATATAAATTATAAAAATATCTAATTTGCAGAATAGATTTTCATTTATCGCCCCGATGCTCCGTCTGGCAAATAAAGTTAAGGACCAAAAAATTAGCCAAAAGTCGACAAATTGGAAAATGTTTAAGATTTTTTGAGTGGTTTTTGAATCTTATGAACTTTTCACAATAAAGTGTTTCTACGTAAAATTATGTAATTCTCAGAGTTTGAGTGCTTACGTGGCGAAGCGCACAGATAGTGTGGAGAATAATTCTCCTAACTACTTGGTTGGTTTAGGATAAAGTACGGTAAAGATAAAAAAGGTGAGGTGACGTGCAGACGAAACTAGCTAGTCCTATCATAGTCGGGTTCACTCCCCAGGGAGTGTAAGTGTGATGAAAGTTAAATGGAATAAATCGTTGTGTTATAGAAGAAATTAAAATATAACCAACGTATGACCTCGAGTAATTCAATAACACTACGAAAAGAAATAAATTTAGAATAATTTAGAATAATTTGCTTAATTCAGCTATTTTTACATGTGCCATATTTGATATATTTTTGACAGCATTTTTAAATAATTTTTTTTTTACATTACAGTATATTTGGGTGATGCCATCATCATCAGCACGATGTGCGCAATTGCCTCGTGCTGCCGACAAAGTTCCGTTTTATGCGGCTTTGAAGAAGTTCCGCGACTTTCTAAACGGCCAGATACCCCATATTGATGAGTCGGAGTGCGTGTTTACAGATCAGAGGATCCGCCAGTGTAGCGAGCAGCAGCAGACAGAAACCAGTGGTAAAATCAAGCAACCACTTCAAACTTCTATTAGTGACCATCAAGCGGGTATGGCTTTCGTGGGTAACTGTGGCCCAAGGGCAGGGGTTGCGGAGTGTGAAAATAATGTTTTATCTGTCGCCGAGGATTCGAATCAGGTTCAATCTGAAAAATTGATGTCTCATATGAATACCAATGTGCCATCGACTAATAATGTGACGGACCGTGGATCATTTTCCTATTCGGGAGACGAAAGACCCATGCTAACAGTATCGAACCAGAATCCCCCTCTAAGTGAAAACACTTACTTGTCTGTGTTTGGCTCGCAGCAATCTCTTCCACAGCAGCCAATAGAGAAAAAAAAACGGGGCCGTCCAAAGAAGATAAAGGGGCAAGAGATTATTGATCATTCCGTAGGCAGTAAAATAACCATAGGCGGACAACATATGCCCCATCATGATTTTAACAATATACTTAACCTCTCGGTAATCTCTGGCAGTGGCAGCATTGAAACTCCTAAAAAGAAGAGGGGTAGACCAAAGAAACTGAAACCCGCTATTGACAACATAATGACAGTGAAACCGCTTCAGCACGGAAACAACAATCCAAACACAGGACCAGGATTGTCAGTAAGCTCAATGCATACACTCTCCATGGAGCATATAGCAGCGTCACCACAAAGTAATCATCAAATGCCGCCCAGTTTGTACAATACCCCGCCACCGTCGCACCTTTTGTACACGGCATCGGCATCACCGATGGCATCCCCCGCCCTTAATTGCAGTTATACCCAAGTGCACGGTCATGGAACTCCACCGGTAGGGCACCAAACTACCGTTGCTCTTGGCACGTCGCCTAACATCGATTCCCAGAACGAACACCTTTCTACACAGAAACAGAATCAGCATGGGAACTTGGAGATTGGACTTGATATGCGGGATCAACCCCACTTGGGTGAAACGCCACCTCCAAGCTCGCCAAACATGTGCACCGCTGTCGATTTCGACCCACCAGACGAGCACTCAGATTCCCAGGTGCGCTCAGGTGAGCATACTAAAGCTGTTGAGATAGGCCAACAGCAACCGCAATCAGTGGATAAGGACCAGTATGATAGTCCGGCGCACGATGGCGATGCGAGCCCAGCTAATCCTCATATCCAGTACCAACAGTGGCTACCACCGCATCCCCACCAAAGTCATCAGCCAGCCCAAAAACTGACACATCAGCACTTGCATCACCCCATGCAGCATTTTCATCAGGAACAGTCGGAGAACTGGCAGCGCTACGAGGAACAAAATGCGAATCCCTATATGCTGATTTCTGCACACCACCAGCATCTGGCTCCACGCGTGGGAAATCAAAGCCATCAGAATTCTTCTCAATCAGGACACATTAACTCAGATGTAGCTCATAAAAGCTTGTGTGGCCTCGAGTCGCTTGTTGATCAAATACCATCAATAAGAGAGCACGAGTGCAGCAACATAACATCGGCGACAGCAGCGGCAGCAGCGGCTGCTGTTGAAAGTCGTTTGTTAGGTTTGCAGCACCACCATCAACAACAGCAACATCAGCAGCAGCAACCACAACAACAGCAACTGCACATCCAACAACAACAGCAGCAACCAAAACGTTGTAATCAAGAAAATACGGCACAAGCGGAGTCATGTAGACCTACGAGAGAGAACAGCAACGTGATCAATAACAATTTCTCAGTAAGCAGTCTAGTTGCTTCTGCTTCGACTGCAAGAACTGACAACGAAGCTATATACGGAAACAGTGGAGAAAGCCGTGGCAACAGTGAAAGCGGAAATAGTAACAACAATTGTAGCAACAGTATTGACTATCCTATTCTTAGCCCGTCCGGTTATCCTCATCATGCCACTCATCTGATCGGTAGCGCTCTTGGGGTAACTGTTAATAGTTCGGAGCCAAATCCCCATCCGCTTTCCCATCCTCATCCGCCTCCTCACCCACATCCGCATCCAATGTATATGGAACAAGCGCACCACGTGGCACATATCCCTCAAGTAAATGTAAGTTCAATGTACGGTCCATCTGCATATGGATCGCATCCACAACATAACACAGGAGAATATGCAGCAACACACGGTCACTATGGTCTGGGCAGTACCGTTCAGTCTACTGTACCAGCCAGCACAGCAACTTTACATGTGCCGAGTCCCAATTATCCGTTTGGACACAGCCCATATAGTCACACACCGCCTCAAGCGAATTACCCAAGCTATACTCATCCACATACCCATCATCATTCACACCATAGTCACCCCTCGCATCACTTGAGCGTATTTGATCACTTGAAGCCGTCCGACATAGGTGGGTACGGCGGTTTTTGATTAAGAAAACAGGAAGAAGATCCACAACAACCGATACCAAAATCAGAATCGCAACGATCCGAACACAGCGACTTGATGTGAATGTAAATTATAAACTTTTACGATTTCGCGTCCCGCCGCATCTCAGCAATATTTATCAATCTCCGGCCTTGCCGATTCTAGTTTAAGGAATTTTTAGATCTTATATATACAATAAGATAACCAAAGACTCCGCCTAAAATAATTATTTAAGCGTTACTTTCTTAAATTACAAAATACTACATATGATAATGTTTACTTAAATTATATACGTAACTTACAGGAAAAATCTATATCGAAATATTTTTTTGTACTTAATATCAATTAATTTAAACATATTTTATTTTATTCCAACATAAATATTGCATAACTTACTCGTAAATAATAAAGTTTCCAAACAATATCCAGACACAAACCCATGATTAAATCTGTGGCCCACATAGAATTTTATTTTACAGTTGACCCAACTCATCTAGTTCACCATTATTGTCTAACAGCTAATTATAAAATGTATTAATTTTACTTAAAAGTGTAATGATTAAAGCTGATAAAAAGTGATTCCTGATCGAAACAAGTCTCTAATAATTATTAAGAAATACGTACGTAACAATAATGGAAGACATTTTCATTAAAAAAAGTGACAACTCCAAGTACTTCCCCAATTAAAAAAAACTTTTAATAAATATTTATCATCCCATGTTCCGGTTATCGCCAAACGGTTGAATTTACTATTTAATCGTCAAATTTTGTGCATCGATTAATGCAAATCGTACGATTCTACGGTTAAAACGGTTTATAAAGGAGTATTTGATTTCGTTTTTTTGTTTGGATAACGGCTACCGAAAGTATTACAAATTGTTGTTGGATATTAAGATATTTTAAATACATCGTTGAACAGGTTATTTTTAAATAATAATTGTCAAAATTTAGAGCTCAGTAAAATGTTTTGAGTTATGCCAATATTAAAAGGTAATCTTTAAGTAAGGAATTACATATTGCGCTGTGATTTCGTTACCTTTTATAACGTAGGCATAATATTATAAAGATTGAAACCGGTTGCGATAACTGGAGCATGATTTCTTAAATTGATTTTAAAAATTTCAAATCTTCCTAACATAATTATTTTTACAATTTTAAATACAATTCCTAAATGGTTTTTGTAATTGTTTTTTAAATTGGGTTTGATTAAATAACAAAGTATGGCTACAAATATGCGCCATATCGCTTTTCTTATTAAAAGACGCAATGTAAGCTTAGAAACTATTATTAATAATGTATATAAATACATATATTAGCAAGTAAATGTAAATTTTCTTTTGCTCTAAAAGCCTACTAAATACTTTGAATCTAACTGCATTATTGTGCATACTGCGAATTTAAATTAAATTAAAATATTTTTATGTTTATAGTAAAAAAAATGTTACTTTAATTTATTTAAAATTTAATTTTGTGTATATTTACGATCTTAAAAATTAATATTAGCAAGGCATAAACTACTAATAAAAACTGTTTTGAAAGGTGCAATCAATAAACGAATATATAGTAGAAATATAATCAACCGAAAGCCATCTCCAATTAGTGAAATATCAATTAGGGTATTTTTAAACTTACGTAATGGTCTAATTTTTAAAGCTTTCAAGAATGTGTTTCTTATCTTGTGTATGTTTTACTGCAAAAATATTATTCTTCTTCGTTGCTAAGTAAAGTTATTTTACTTATATATATATTACGCTGTGATATTGTTTTCTTTGATACAAGATCAATTAAAATTTTACCCATTTCATTTTTAATATTATGAATACCAAAAAATTACATACGGTTTTTGGGCATTCTTCAAATCAATATTCAAACAGTCTGCTTCGTCTTTCTCATTATAATTTATGCATGAGTTTCTTCAAACTATTATATACAATGTTTATGTTTGACTTCTGCAAACTAAATTAAATTTATTTTTTCTGCCAGATAAAATGTTACTGAAATAATCGAAGATTCAAACTCTATAGCGTTATGTTTTACTAATATGCTATTAATGTGACATAAATATGTACGCATGTATGTATGTAAGTAATTCTGAAGACTGTGAAGAATTGTGTATATTGCGTAAACAACTATTTAAGATAAAACATATACCATGGACGACTAATGTCTATATTCAGCCAAGTAAACAAGTAAAAATTTTAAAAATTAAAGTTCGCTCGTATATTTATTTTATTGTTTTAAACCAGGAAGTAAAACCAGAACCGAAAATGTCAACCTTGAAAACAAAATTGTTTGTACGGTTTTCTGACTACTTTTTTGATTTTAAGTATTGCATAAATTAAAAATTTTTTAAAATTAATTTAATTTAGCAGACGTATTTTAAAGAAAAGTACGAGATAGCGAAGTCTTTTTAAATTACCCTAAAAAGGACCTAAACTCGACTTAATGTATGTTTGTATTTTTTCATGTCTAATTAAAATGCGTAATATTTGTAATAAAACATTTTTTTTTGGATTTCGTTGCCGTACAGGGAGAAACCGGATCCACAGCCGGAACCAAATTCAAAGTCAAAATGGAATCCCTAACTAAAACAGTTGATTCGGTTAGGTACCGGGACTGAAAAGAGATTCGGTTTTATTCCCTGATTTAAACGAAGACAGTAAAGAAACCAAAAACTGATTTCCTATTAAAAAAAGATCGTAATTTATTTATTTTAATTTAATCGTAGGTTAATTATATAGTTATAATTATTAATTATTAGATATATATTTTAGTACGTATTATGAAAAACGAAGACTTCGCCAAAAGTTTAAATAGATCTTTATAATTATTCTCCAAACTAAATAAATTGTGGACGATTTTTAAGTACAAACTTCTTTTTTTTTTTAAAACGATATTAAGTAAATTTTAGTTTGTTTAAAATGATATATAGCTGTTGACAGCTGATTAGAGCCTCCAGTTACTTTAAAAGAAAGAATTAAATTAAATCTGACATTATTTTTATGTACATTCCATTTTTTTTATTAGACGTTTTTATAATTCAGTCAAAAGTTTGAAAGACAGCTCAAGGGACATTTTCGACTCTATAAAGTATAAATTCTGTTAAACCACCTCGCACCCAGCACCCCGCTAATAGTTTGTTTGCTTTCTCAGATATATGAACTCAGTTTTTAAATACCAAGTAACGTTGTAATTAACACCTAAATTCCGAATGACTTCTAAAAAAAATGGTGCGTTTTGGAAAATACTGAAAGTATATGTAAAGCATATAGGGTCGGAAACGCTTCCTTCTATCCGTTATATACGATATACTCTTTTACTTTACAAGTAACGGGTATTCAAAATGAAATTAATTTAGCATGACCAACATTAAAGAATACCCGTCTTAAGACCATAGAACATCACTCGGACATGGAGTATGAATCTGTATGAATACTTATTAATACTTGTGAATACTTAAGCTGCACTGCTCGCTCTCATTAAAGTGATATAGACTCTTTCTCTATGCATATAATGTTTCTAAATAGATTCGTACTCTTTGTTTTTACGCGCGGAGTTCTATTCCTCTTTAGGGGTTAAAAGAAGAGCGCGAGAATTGAAAAAATGAAAACGAACGAAGTCAAAATACATACAAAACAAAACACTAATACTAATTTACATTTAGCCTTTTTAGAAAGCATTGCTACTTTTAATCCAAACAGTAGGCAGTAGAAATAATCTGGTAGAGTCTGTTATAGTCATTACATAATACTCTAAAATATGCGGAAGATAGTTTCTTGTAATTCAATAATGCACTTCGTATTACGTTATACGGATGCAGATGCTCAATTAATTAGAGAAATTGTAGTAGAGTAAGATGCTAATTTTGAATTTGTATCCCACTTACGAAACCGCAGTAAAAGTTTTTTGCCACAGATCAGTTTAAAACAAAACTCCAGGATTATTATTATTATCCATATCTTAACGGTATTTTATTTATTGAATCTTTTTTCGTATAGATTGCCGATAATTATGCAAATCCTTATTTAAGATATTTATTTTTGCTGGGTGGGGAAGTTTTGGTTCTCAATTACTTTAATTTAATGGATTATTTCTCAAAGCTCGGAGCGACATGTCAAATTGGTTTGAGGATTCCATTGTTGAAATTGCATAGCAAATGCTTAAATTGTTGTAAGACTGGTTGTCGGTAGATCTGCTGTGCAAATAATATACAGTGTCGGTCCAAACACGCACTTGGGGTACTCCAGCTTCAATTGGATAATATTCAGAGAGGAAATCTTTACATTATACTGCGAAACTTCTTTTTTGAAGACTCTAATGTTTTATGGGTGTTCTGTGGAAGAATTAACCGCACAGCTTTTTGTAAACGGTTCTTATTGCATAGCAGCTCTTCAATATTCCCAGAAGCTGGACTTTTTTTGTACTAATATTTATTAAAGCGTTGATCAACCCACTTAATGGCTATAAAACGCATGGAAATAACAAAGAAGAAAAAATAACATGAAACATAACAGAAATGAGAAAATGTAACAATTTTATAACAGAGACAGACTACCCTATTGTCTCAAGTCGCGGGTTTGATGACGTCACCAGGGTGTCGACGCCTCAGTCTTCTGGTAGTTTGATTTGCCAAGGATGCTGCTAGTTGGTTGGTGTGGGCTAGTAGACGGTCATTGTATCGGCTAGAATGCATGTTGATCTGCTCTCTCACCATGGGGATGTGAAGATCGCTAGCTAGAACCTCGTTTCTTACATACCACGGTGCATTCATAATTGTTCGTAGCGCCCGGTTTTGCACTCTTTGGACCATCATGACATTTGAGTCTGAAGCAGTACCCCATATTTGAATGCAATATGTCATTGAAGGAACTACAATCGACTTATACAGCAACATCTTGTTGCTGAGGCTGAGTTTACTTGCTCCTTTAAGCATCCAATTTAGTTTCCGAAGCTTAGTACGACATGCTGCTGTTACCTTCGTTATGTGCTGCTTCCACGTAAGTCGTTTGTCCAAAATCAAGACCAAGTACTGAGCCTGGGAAGATTGCGGTATAACTGTGTCCTGGAATTTTACTCTGGGGAGAATTTTACTTCTAAGAGAGAAGTTGCAGTGCTGGGACTTATTCCCGTTTATCGAAATGTTCCATCGATTCGTCCATTCGCCATACAGGTCTAAAAAGTTTTGGGTGATTTCAGTCGCTTTAATTCGACACATGGAGTTGGCAATAAGGCTGTATCATGAGCATATGTAGCCAAGAGGGTACCCGGTGCCCTAGGGTATGGCAGGTCAGCGGTGAATAAAACCGGACCAAGTACGCTACCCTGATGTACGCCAGCTCGAATGCATCTGATAGACGACCTTTCGCCTCTTACATCTACCATAAAATTTCGTTCTAAACGATACGATTTTAGGAGAAGATATTGTGCAGTTGGCAGGAGAGTTTTTAACTTAAACAGCAAGCCATCGTGCCAAACGCGATCAAAAGTTTCTTTGACATCAAGAAAGACTGCTGAACTGTACTGCTTGTTTTCGAAAGCTCCAAGAATGTTCTGTGTTACTCGATGGGCTTGTTCTGGTGTACCATGGTGATTTCTAAAGCCAAACTGGTGGTCTGGAATGGCATCCTGTACACTTCTTACTGCCATCATTCTACTGAGGAATATTCTTTCGAATATTTTTGAGAAAGTAGGCAGCAAACTTATTGGTCGGTAGGTCGCAACAAGGTTTTCCGGTTTACCTGGCTTGGGTATTATCGAAATCACCGCTCACTTCCACTGAGTGGGAAAGTGGTGGATACGTAACATGGAGTTGAAAATGAGAACTAGAAATAGTATACCCTTCCTAGGTAACGCCTTGGCAGTTCTGCTGTCGATGCCGTCGAAACCTGGAGCTTTACTACGTTGCAGCTTGCGAATTTGAAGACGGACCTCTTCCGGACTCACTTGAGGGATAGGTTCAATTGTCGAGGAGGGTGCATTTAGGAATGCTAGGGTTTCATCGACGTGTTCAGGCCTAGCAAAATTGAATGGCTGAAAACGCCCTTCCAATTCCTCAGCAAAGGCCGTCGAGATTTCGCCGTCTGATCTGCACCATGTATTGTCGGCACGCTTTATTGGAATTCGGCGAGGGGCCTGTCGTTTTATATTCCTTGTTGCTCTGCAGAGGTTGAATCCATACGGCTTTGTGAGATCTGCATTGCGGAGCATATAGTCAAAGTATTCTCTCTTCGTTCTGAGCAATAGTTTCTTAAGATTGTGCTCAGCACGACGATATTCTCTTTTGTCAGCAGGGTCTCGAGAACGCATAAATCTACGACGCAATGTTCTTTTAAACCTCACCAGATCCTGGACCTCAGGTTTTAAAAGAGCATCAGGTGGATCAGATGGGTTGTTTGGTCTTTGTCCGCAGGTTGATGACTCAGCAGCGATGTTAATATTTCGCACCAACATTTCAGTAGCATCGTCGATGTCATCAGGAGTGTTCAGGTGCATGTTCAGGTTAACTAAACCGTTAATCGCTTGCTGAAACTTTGGTATATTTGCATTATGGGGCAGGATGCACGTCTTGCGGGAAAGCTTACAAGCGGAAACTCTGTACTGTATTATTAATGGAATGTGGTCCGAACTCAGTTCAAGAATTTCAGAGATGGTTAGAAAATCAGAACGAATTCCTTTGTAGATGGCAAAGTCTATGGCTGATGGCATGCGTTGGCTGTATGGGTAATGTGTAGGCCCTCGACTAGCAAGTACCTGCTTATGGGATGTGAGAATAATATCCGCTAGAGTTCTGCCCCTGTTTAAAGAAGTTCTTCTTAGTGATTAGCTGTGAGCTGAGAATTTGGGGGACAATATATAGACGCAATGACTATTTCCCCTTGGTCAGTTTTGACTTTAACCGCAACACACTGAGCCGTATGGTGTTTTACAGATAAGAATTTAAGGCACGATTTGATGATAATTGCGGATCCTCCACGATAGGATAGGATAGGATGGTTTGAGAGATGAACGTCACACCCCCATAGCTGACAGTATGATCTAGAGCAGAAGTGAGTTTCGCTGACTAACATAACGTCGATATGATGTTGCTTTACAAAAAGCTCCATCTCGAGTGACTTGTTGTGCGTTCCACACACCGATTTTGAGTCCAATTTGACTCATGGTTGGGCTGGAAAGGCAGTGTGTAGACCAGCGACTGCTTGTGCAGATCCTGGCGCTATTTGGGGTAAG